TTCCTGTCCTGGGCCCCCTGGAATTTGGGTTTGTTTTATTTTAAGAAAATTGTTTTATTTTATTTTTCTGTTTCATAATTTCATTCGCAACCACGGGTGGTTGCCGAATGCAGAAGAGGCAAGCTTGGCATTTTCAAAGTGGTGGATGGCTGATTGTCAACATAACATGCATAGTTCTTTGGGTTGCTAAAATGTCCTTAAAATGTCTACCTTTTTCAGGATATTTCTGTTTTCTTCAATGTAGAAAGGATGGATTTCAATGTAGAAGTGATTTCTTCTTCAGTAGCATGTAAAACTATGTGCTGTTTTGTGAGTGTTCCAGTGTTCAGTATAGATGTTACATGAGCATCCCATTAAGAGCACAGTGCTATGCTTAATTCTACAGAAAAAATCTATATCTCCCAGCATCTTCGGCCAACTCGGAGCGGAAGGACGTTATCAGACTGTGCATGCGATTGTGTTTCAGTTTGCTTTTGTTTCCCCTGTCACATATTTCAGGTCAAATGCTTGTGATTTCTTGGGACAAAAACCAAAACAAAACACGAGGTCTTTCTTTTTTTAGCTAGTACAGAAAACATCTGTCTAAAGAAAATACAGTGGTACCTCCACTCACGAACGCCTCAGTTCACGACCAAATCGGGTCGTAAACAGAAATTTCATAACAATTTTGCCGTAGGTCACGAACTCCAGCTTGGGTGACAGTCGCGATCACGCCTGCTTTCCCCGCATGGGCACGATCGCGCTGGGCGGGTGGGGGAGATGGCCGCGATCGTGCCTGTCTCCCCCCGGCACGTGCCCACAATCGTGCCAGTCTCCCCCACTCCAGCACGATGGCTGAGGGGGGCTGGAGATGGCCACAATCTTTGTTGTACTTTGTCACTTTGCTTCAGATTTTTGTGATTAAAAAAAAATAGTTACAGAACAAATTAACCTTCTTTCCATTGAACCTTATGGGGAAATTTGACTTGGCTCACGACCAATTTGGCTCACGACCAGAGTCCTGGAACGGATTACGTTAGTGAGCCAAGGTACCACTGTACGAGGTGCAACTTGTGTGGCAGTAGAGATTACTACTGCGATGCCTACTCGTGGTGTGGGATGCTCATTAGCTTCCAGGTTTGGAGCTTATGGGAATCTGCCACAGGGACAATTGGATGGTGCCCTAAATCTTATCTTTTAACCAGAGTGTTTAGTGTTTAGCATGTCAGACTGGGACCTGGGAGATCCGAGTTCTAGTCCCCGTTCGGCTGTGAAGCTCATGGAGCGTTTTCTGGCAAGTCAGTCACTCTCAGCCCAACCTACCTCACAGGGTTGTTGTGATGAGGATAAAAGGGAGCCATGCCAGTCACCCTGGATTCCTCGCAAAGGAAAAAAAATTGGAGTAGAAATCCATTATAAAGGTAATGTCAGATCATCCTCTTGAACAGCAGAAATTTTACCAAATTGCCCTAATGTCCTTAATTTGCACAGAAAAGAATCCAGAAATGTCCAGTGATTTTTTTCTCTAGAAAATCAACATCATCTATCATATAATTCTATGACTAAAGCAGATGATTTATGGAAGCATCCATGGCTAACTCTTGTTTGTTCCCATGGGTTCCTAACTTTTTCTTTCTCTTTCTATCCCAGTAGGAGAATTTTGGGAGAGGGAAAATGAAGGAACCAGGTGATATGTCTGCAGAAGTTGGGCATTTAGAGATGGAAGAAAAAAGTAAGCCAAAGAGGCAGAAGAAAAGAAAAACAGCCGAGAAAGAAAAGCAGAGGAATGAATCTACTCCCAGTGAATGTGGGGTTGCCGACAAAATCCCAGAAAAAGAAATACAGGAGGAAAAGACAGAGAATAAATGTCCCGTATGTGGGAAAATCTTTTGTTCTAAATCCCGCCTGAAAGTACATCAGAGAATCCACACAGAGAAGAGGCCCTATAAATGTTTTGAATGTGGGAAGAGTTTCAAACAGAGTGGACACCTTTCTCAGCATCAGAGGATGCATACAGGAGAGCGACGGTATAAATGCCTGGAGTGTGGGAAGAGTTTCAGCCAGAGCACATATTATATTCTGCATAAAATAACCCACACGGGAGAGAAACCTTTTACATGCTTGGACTGTGGAAAGAGTTTTAGCCACAGCAGGAAACTTACTATACATCGCACCATCCACACGGGGGAGAGACCCTATAAATGTCAGGAGTGTGGCCAGCGCTTCAGTCAGAGCACACACCTTACTTCACATCAAAGAATCCACACAGGGGAGAAGCCTTATAAATGTTTGGAGTGTGGCAAATGCTTCAATCAGAGCACACACCTTACTCTCCATCGAAGGATTCATACAGGGGAGAAACCCTATCGGTGCCTGGAGTGCGGAAAATGCTTCAGTCAGAGCCCGCATCTCACTTTACATCAGAGAATCCACACAGAAGAGAAGATGTATAAGTGCTTAGAGTGTGGAAAGAGTTTCCACCGAAGTGACCATCTGACTTCCCACCAAAGAAGCCATACAGGAGAGAAACCATATCCGTGCTCAGAATGTGGAAAGAGTTTCAGTCGAAGTTCCATCCTCATGAAACATCAACGAACCCACAAAAGTGAGGAAACCCCTGAGTGAACATCCTCATACACCAAGATGAACAGATGGGGCTTTGCTTTGTGTGTTCTGGAATTCCAGGGCTTGGAAATAAGTTGCAAGAAGCAGAGCCTTCTCTGTCGTAGCACCTGGAGATAGCCTCAGATAGAATCCCCATAATCTGTGGAAGATCCTTGAAAAAAGGGAGTTCCCAATCTTGGAAACCAGAGCTGGAAAACCAGAGCTGTGCTCCTGTTTTAGCTTGTAGTCTTTGTGCTTCATTAGAAACCCACATTATTTTTGTGGCAAGGAGTGCCTCTTAGATGCTTTGGTTGGTATGCCAAGCACACCTGTTCTTGGACGGAGGGAACCCGAACAGTGCAGTCCAAGCACAGGTGACTGAGGTGACGGCTGGCTGTGATGCCTGGCCACACACTGCTGCCTCGATTAGCCACAGGGGCAGGTTCAAGGTTTTGTTGCTGGCACATTGGGAGCAAGTTACCTGGTGGTTCACCTTTGCCTGATACAGAGCAGTTGGATTGTTAACATTGTCATAGGAGGTCTGGCTGGTTGTGACGCAGCCACTCTGGAGGTCTTGGAGATGCCAACTGGCATGCCTTTCCAGACTGATTGAACTGCTCAGTTTGTTGAATTTCTCTGATTTTGATTCATTTTGAATGTTGATTGAGTTCTCTGATTTTAAACATTTTAGTTGAGTGTTTTTTCCCCTTTTTAACCGCAAACATTTGTATGCTCTGCTTTTAATATTTTAACAATGGACATTTTGTATTTCAATCTTTAGTAAACTACTTCAAGGTATCTTTTTTAGCTATAATGAAGTGGTCTATACACTTATTAAATAACTGACCTTTTAGAAAATAGAGGGAATTTTATGGAAATATTTTAGGGGATGTTTCTGGGTGTGTCAAGTCATAAATAAGCCTATTAGTAGTATTAAGAATTCATGTGAAGTTGAGTGAAGTAGAGCAGGGCTAGGCAAATCTTGTGCACTCCAGATGTTCTCCAGTGCAACTCCCATCATCCCCAGTCAACATGGTCAGGGGCTAGGGAGTGTAGTTTAAACATCTGGAGGATGTCCCCAAAGGATGTGTGAGCACATGGCAATTAACTGAGGTCGTACGAGACTGTGTGGACGACATGTAGCGATTTTAACTCCAGAGGTGGATGGAAGGACTTTCTTTATGTTATCCTACCTGCAAAATTGTCTTAGGAACACAGGAAATGGGCTTATCCTGGTTCAAACCCTTTGTCCATCTGGCCCAGCACTGGCCATGGCTCCCCAGGACTTTAGGCAAGTAACTTCCCAACCTGGGGCTTGCTGCACGCATTTGCCTGCTCTCGCATTGGGCTATTGTCTTTGCCCCTTGAAAGAGGACTTTGCTCCTAGTCCTCATGATTCTGAAGAAGGCCTTGCTTTCTGCCAAGTCAGGTCTGTGTCCTTTTCCCAGACCTGAATTGCCGCTTTCCCCAACATGATGCCTGTGTTGGGCTGCAGCGTCTTGCGTCATCTCATCTGCCTCGTTTAGGCCTCTTGGAAGATGGACAAAGGACGGACATGGCGAATGAGCAGGTGTTTGCTCTCGGAGACCCTAACAATGATGGCCTGCCTTCCAGGACCGCATGATCTTCTGTTTCAGAGGATGCAGTGCCTGTGGGAATCTGCTAGCTCTCCGTGGGTTGCCTACCTGAGACCAAACTTGCTAGGAGGAGAAACGCCCGTGCTGTTTTTGGTAGAACTGGATTGCGAGGTTTCATGGCATGAGCAGCAAGGAGCACGTAACGAGGGCCTTGGCCCAACCCTTCTTTGTTCAGACATCCTGTTCAGACCAGCAGGTTTTGCTGAACACCCGTTCCAGCTGACAGCAGCCTTGCTGATCGACTGGGAACATACTAGCTTTGGAAATTCTTGGATTTACCCAATAAATCCACCTGTAAGCAAGGCTAGCCTTGCCATGTCGCTTTCCTTGGGATTAAAAAAAAACAAATCCTTGACCCACTGCAAGGAGGCATAACATGCTGGCCGGGGATGATGGGAGTGGTGGTCCAACACATCTGAAGGGCATTACACTGGGGAAGGCGGCTGTTTTGCCTGCATGACCAGCAGTGGACATGTTTTTAAAAATCCTGATATTTGGCCTGGAGGAAGAAGGTAGCAGATCCAAGCTAATCAAGGGCATCTTTTTAAAAATCCTGATTTTTGGCCTGGAGGAAGAAGGTAGCAGATCCAAGCTAATCAAGGACATCTTTTTAAAAATCCTGATTTTTGGCCCGGAGGAAGAAGGTGGCAGATTCAAAGGTATCTGAGTCTTACGTGTAGCTGCCAGTTTCCAGCCACTGCTGGGAGTCTCTTGCTAAAGCTTGGCATAAGGTTATATATATGTTAGAGCTAGCAAGGAAAAATTACCTAGGAAGAATTGAGTGTGCCATGTATGTATGTGCGGATACATGAATTAATAAAACTTTGACTCTACATTCTGATTCATTTCGTTTTGGGATAAGGGGTGCATTTCTGCTTACAACATAAAAATCCTGCTGCTTCAGACCAAGGTCCATCTAGTTTTAACCACGAAAGCCCTAAATGTCCTCCGCTTCCCTGAAAGGCTGCCTTTCCTCCCTATTTATTGAATTCCCCATCTGTGGAATGCTCTCCCCAGAGAGGTCCACCTGGTGCCGTCATTATTTGTTTTTCAGCGCCAGGTTAAGACCTTTTTCTTTTAAAAAATATTTTAATAACGTTTAATATCTATAGGTTTTAATTGTGCAGCCAGGGTGTTTTCGGATTTTAATTGTTAAACGTATTTTGTATTATGTTTATTTATTTATGTGAGCTGTCCCGAGGCTATAAGCAATGGGATGGCATACAAAAGCTCTAAATAAATACATAAATTTCATTAATACCCTGACTTTCCACCCAAAAGCAGCTCTAGAGGAGGTAAACCACAAAATTTGGATTAAAAACATAGTCTGAATTAAAACATAATCTTAAAAAATTTAAAAACAGAACCTTAACAAATACAGGCAGTGCCAACCTATGGCAGAAACCCTTCAGAGGCAGATCTGGCCCTATGTCAGAGTCTTGCCTGAATAGAAACATTTGCAGCAGTGGGTTGACAAAGGGAGCAATTCTACTCCTATCAAAAAAGATCCGGCCCTCTTCTCCAAAAGGACCACGTAGGGACTTCAGGCACCTGGTAAAGACCTTTCTATTCCACAGGCCTTAAAAAAAAGCAAAACCATGTTTTAGCACTATGAACTTCTCCAGTTTACCAACTGCGCGTTTCAGAAACATACTCTGATGCTTATAGCCTGATTTTTTTCCTCTTGGAAGGAACCGTGCAGCATATAATCCTTTGTCTCCTTTCCATCTCCACTGTCACAACAACCTTGAGAGCTCACTTAGGCTCAGAGGTCGGGGCTGGCCCAACATTGCCAGGTGAACTTTGTGGCCAAGGGGGGATTAGAGCCCGGATCGCTCGAGTCCCAGGCCAAGCTCTAACCACTACACCACACTGATCATAAAACGTTATGCAGCAGCCACAGCAATTGGCTCTAAAAAAAAAAAAAAAAAAGTCAGGCAAAACTTCCCCACTTCCTGCACTCTCCGGATGGCAATGGCTGTGCTGGCTGGGGATGATAGGACCTGTAGTACAATGCAAGCAGAGGGTGGGAGGGTGGCTGCTTAAAACACCCCTGTGCGGGCACCCTCTGGAGGGATTGGACTGCCGCTCCCATTGTACACAAGGATGGTGGGAGCGGTAGTCCAACCGAGAGGCAGACTCTGTGTGGCTTCAACAGTTATAAGGAGGGGGGCAATCCTTGTGTTGTTGTTCAACAACTGGGAATCAGGAATACTTGCTGATCTTCTGCAAATGCCCCCCCCCCCCAAAGCACCAGTAGAGGCAGCTTCAACTTCTGCCCAGCTTGCCTTTAAACACACCGGACTCGGAAAACCTGCAGGGATCCTGCTGAAGCAGAAAGCGGGGAGTCTCCTGCACAGGCGAGTTTCGAGGAAGAGGAAAAAGATGGTTCTGCCTCCATCTCACACACTGCGCCGTTGGCCCAGGGAACTGAGCATGTGGCTTGCTCTCCTTTCTCCTCGCTCAGCAATTCATGTTTTTGCTGTCCTTGAGGAAGATCGAAGGCAGAAACTCAGACGGTGGCAGATGGTGGCTTCTTCCGCCACCGTCACAACTGCCTCTCCCAGAGTTTCTCTCCCTTTCATTTAAGATTGTGACCTGCTTTCCCTGCCTTGGCAGCTTCCAAACCCAGCAAAAACAAGGCTTAAATCCAGCACCGCTCTGTTAAAAACAGCATCGAATCCCTCACAAACTGAGCGCTGGAAACGACAAAAGCAGGCCTGGGAGAAAGGAAATGTGATTTGTCTAGGTCAGCGCTCGGCAACCTTTAACACTCAAAGAGCCTTTTGGACCCATTTCCCACACAAAAGAAAACACTGGGAGCCGCAAAACCCTTTTGACAGCTAAAATGAAGATAACACTTCATATATTGTTTTTTACCTTAATGCTATGTATATCTTCATTAAGATTTAGCTGCAGCTCTTGTTCAGTCACTAAGAACTGTTAATCTTGCATTATAAACTAGTAGGACTCCTTTCATATATTTTGAATAGGAGAACTGCTTCCTGAAGAGTTTAGGTCAGTGCTAAAGGGCTGCATGCATTAAACAGCAAACCCCATAAGTTCGTCAGCAGTAAAAGCAAATGAATCTACCCACGTACCATTCATTCATTTATATTGTGATTTATATCCTGCCTTTTCCTACAAAGGGCTCAAGGCAGCTTACATCATTCCCCTCCTCCATCTTATCCCCACAACAACAACCCTGTGAGGTAGGTTGGGCTGAGAGTCTGTGACTGGCCCAGAGTCACTCAGTTGGCTCCATGGCCAAGCAGGGACCAGAACCCAGATCGCCCGAGTCCCAGTCCCCTGCTCTTAAGCACGACACCACACTGGCTCTCACCTTTGGTTTTCTTCAGAAACTTTTCTTCGATTTGTCCATGATTGGCCTATGAGGGGGGCAGGGGGAGCTCAGTAAATCAGCGCAGATCATATAGGTGTGTTTAGTGACTGATTAGCAGATAAACAGTCAAGTGCTGTGAATTGTGACAGGTCCCAAGCGCAGCTTTTAACATTCAGAGGAAGGAGATTACATTGGGACAAAGAGAATCCTTTCAGCAGCGTTTCGTGTAACATGAGAGCCTGCAGGAAGCTTGTTTAGCAGAGGAATGTAGCGGTTTACTTAAGTAGCGCTGCATTCCTGAGATCAGCGGCTCAGTCAGCGGATCAGGACGCAGATCAGCTGTGCGTGTTTTGAGCAACGGAGCCGCAGCAGAGGGGTTTAAGAGCCACGTGCGGCTCTGGAGCCGCAGGTTGCCGACCCCTGGTCTAGGGCAAGGCTGTCTGGGAAAAGGGTCTCCTTTTCCCTGGAAATCTGTTTCCCCCACATAGTTCATATCTTAAAACTGTGGCATTTGCCTTATATAAGATTGCAAGCTAGTGGGCAAGACTCTTTGGTGTAGTTGGTTCATTGCGTTAGAGTACCTAGTAATTTGGAAGCAAATTTATTTATGGTGGTTGGTGATAATCAACACAATAATATTATAATATTATAATAAATAATAAATAATATTATTTATAATGAGGCTGTTGAAGGGTTCTGCCCTTAAAGGCAACCTAAGCTAATTTTTAATTAAAAAATAAATCATATTGTCATCCATTTGAAAAACTCATAATCATAGAAGCCTGTAAGCAGAACTGTCCCAATTTTCCCTTCATAAGATAGTATGATAAGCAGAGATGCAAGGAAACGGCTGCCCACCATTTTGTTCCATGGCATCAAATCCAGATCAAACCACAGATGGTCTAAGGAGCCTCCTGGACACACCAGCAGGCCTTCCTTGGCAAGAAAACACAGAAACAGAGCAAGTCAGAAGGGGCCTCCCGGGCCATCTAGTCTGACCCCCGGCTCCAGCCGGCTCCGTTCACGACATGCCCACCATGGGCATGTCCAGCCGATCCTTGAACAACCTCCCTGGTGGGGCCTCAACCACCTCCCGGGGAGGCCCATTCCACACCCTCGGGGACCTAGCCATCAGGAAGTGCTTCCTGGCCTCCACCCTAAATCCCTACAGCTTTGAGTCCAAAGAAGACAAGCGGGAGACATGTGAACTGAGGCAGCTCCTGTGTGCAGATCGCTTGTCTGGCGACCAAGCCACCTTTTGGGGTGCACAGGGACCACTGTATCTATTTATTTATATTTATTTATTTATTAAAACATTTCTATGCCGCCCCATTCGCCGAAGCCTCGGGGCAGCTCACAACAAAAAATTAAAATACAAGAAATAACAATATAAAATGAGTCGCCCTGGCCAGGTAAAATAAGCAAATAATATTAACAATTAAAATGACGCTTAAATAAAAAGGTCTTTGCCTGGCGCCAAAAAACAAATAACGACGGTGCCAGGCGGACCTCTCTGGGGAGCGCATTCCATAGATTGGGCGCCACCGCAGAGAAAGCCCTCTGTAGTGGAAGCTGTGGCAGGGGCACCCCGTGGATTGTCAGGTCATACAAACCTGGCCAGGTTGGGTTGTTGGCACGGCACAACTGAGCACTGTGAGACCCTGCCGGATTTTAAAAGGAATGGCCAGAATTCACAGGTAAATTAACCTAGGATGAGCTTGTGGTGAGACCAGCTTTGTTGCTAACAGACCAGAGGCAACCAGAACTTTCAGGAGCGATGGGTAGGTCCAATTCTCCTCCACATACTTCTTGGTTTCCATGTCCCTTTCCTGCCAGAAGACCAAAAAAAGCCTGTGGCATAACTAGTAGCCTGCAATTCCAGGCTGGAAGGGAACGTTGCATGCAGAAGGTCTCAAACATCTTCAAGGACTAAGAAGGAATTCTGCCCAGACTTCAGGAACCTCGCTGCCAGTCAGTGTTGGCCCTGCTGGGCTGGAGGGACCATGGCGTTCCTTGCTATGACGGCTGCTTCCGACCTTCCAAAGAGGGGACTTCCCTCCAGGGTATTGGATTTACCTGGAAGGCGTTAGACTCCTCCAAGGGATGTCTAGAGGGTGTCAACAAAGGGAAGGGCTTGTCAGTGGTGGCCCCTGAATTTGGAATGATGTCTCCATAGAGGCCAGTCTGGCATCACCATCATCATCTTTGTGGTGCCAGGTTCAGACTGTCCTGAAATGGTTTTAGCTGTTCAAATTGCTTTCAATTTCATATATTCAAATTTTATGCTGTATTTATTTACTGGCTTTATAAACCTCACCCAACAGTCTCATCCTGGACTCCCTGAGCAGTGTACAACCAACAGCTAAAATTTTTTTTATAAACTAAACAATTAATATTTAAATTCTTTAAAAATCTATTGAAAATAGAATCATAGAAGAGTAGAGTTGGAAGCGACCATGAAGGCCATCAGGTCCAACCCCCTGCTGTTGCAGGACACCAGTTCACACCATCCCACCCAGGTGGCTGTCCAACTACAATTCCTACACAGTGCCTTAGCAAAAGTTATCCTAAGCCAAGATAGTAGACGAAGCCATCAATAAAAATTATAAAATCAATCCATCTACAAATTTATTAATTGAATATGATTCAATTCATTATTAAAATGGCTGGATTATAAAACTGTTTTTGCCTGGTGCAGAAATGGCTGCAGCAAGGGTGCCAAACGAACCACTCCGAGAAGCGAATTCCAAAGATAAGGTGCAACCACCAAGAAGGCCCTCCTCCTATTCGCCATCCCCTTCACCTCCTTCAGGGATGGATCTTCAAGAAGGGCCTCTGAACCAATAGCAGTTGGGTAGGTAACATGTAGGGTTTCATGTGTATTTCATGGTCAGCTCTATTTATGCTGCATCTTACTATATCCGTCTTTGTGTTCTGTGAAGTGCTGTGAGCCGCCGTGAGAACTTTGGCTACCAAGAAGCAGCGAAATGAATTAAGAATAGTAAGCATTGTTCCTGCTGGCAACTGTTCTCCATGGTCCCCCCCCCCCCCGCCCGCATGTTCTCCTGCTTGATCCTTCCGGCAACATCAGATGCGAGCTGAACTGGACCCATCCACATGCAAAAGACATGATCTCCTGCTAAGAGTTCTCACCAGCAGCCCTTCGAGTGCACAGCCGGAACATCACCCCAAATGCTCTGCAACTTCAAGAGGTTCTGTGGCAAAACCTAATTTTCTGCGTGCAAAATCTCTTTTAGCCCAAAATCCAGATTCCAGCAGTGGGGGTGCTGACTGGGAAATTCTGGGGGTTGGAGGACTTTTCTTCTGTCTGAATGCAAACAACTTGCCCCTTAAGAGTTGCCGATTCGAGGCCACAATAACCAAACATTTCCCGACATATTTACTCAGCAGTAAATCCCTCGATAGACGTACTATGGATTCCGTGCAGCATCCTCTCAAGTAAGCACACACAAAAAATGCACCCCGGATGCACAAGACTCTGTATCCAAACATAAAGTTGTCACTCATTTTCTCTTTCCATTTTATTATTTTTACTTCAAAATATATATTACCCTTTTCTCCAGCAAAATAGTGTTCATTCCCAAATAACAGTATTTCATATCTCAGGGTAGCAGAAGCAAACTCCACTCTCTCTGGGCAGCCACGGTGGTACTTTGATTTATGTGAGCTTAGAATGTGAAATTCCATATGCTCAGCATGTATCTTTTTAAGTTTAGAAAACAGGTTCTAGGGGCTGTTGACAAGGTATTTGCTATAGGTACCAGTGATGCCATGTGCAAGAGCTTTTCCACATGAGGCATTGATTGCGCACTTGTCATTCCCTATTCACAGTTGTCTACAGGTTCTTAGGATGATGCTCTGACCTTCCAGTTATCCTTCTATGTCTAAAGAGGATCACGGACAAACATTTTAGAGCAGGGCAATGTGGTATCAGTGAAAGTGAAAGAAACCGTGTTTTCTCACTTGTGTATTTGCTCTATTGCTCTATACCATAGTGCCATCTAGAGGTTATGTAGCAGAAAAGCAGGAGAGGGCACGCTTTTCGATGTAGCACTTGGAATTAAATTCTGTGATCAAACTGAAAGTAAATACAGTTACTTAATAGCCTCGTGAAGAAAAGCTCCTAATTTCAGCAGGACTTAGCAGAATTTATTTCAGAGTAAAGCTTCGCTGGATATTGTACTTCATGTCTGTTTTATGGAGGCTTTCTGTCACTCCCAGTCAAGCACAGCAGTTCCAACACGTTTTTCCAACACTAGTGGGTAAAAAGCTTCTCAGATAAACAGTGCATAAAGTGGATGCAGGACAGAGGCTTGGGGGTAGATTTATTTGCTAAACTGGAGCCAAATAAATAAATAAATCAATCCCAACAGATTTTAAGGCACCAAAACAGTTTCTGGAAAATTTTCCAATTCAAAATTTTATGGGAAAGCCATGTCACCATCCTTAATTTGGTTTCAGACATTTACTTTAGGTATTTTAAACCCACCCATTCTCCAAAAGGCTCACAGGTTGAGCTTATATGGTTCCCCAACCCTTGGTGTTTAACCTTATAACAAGCCTGTGAGGTAGGTTAGCCTGAGAGAATGACAGGCCCAGGATAGCCCAGGAGATGTCAAGACTGAGTGAGGATTTTAATTTGGGCCCTCTGCAATCTTCATTGGACACCCGAACCACTTTTTGCTCTCTGAATAAGAGCACGTAATTGGTCTCAGGCAGTATTGTTGGCTTCTCAGGCCTCGCTCACTTCCAAACATGATTTCCATTAAAAATTCGTTGCCATGTGGGGAGTTCTGATTTCTCTCTGTCATGGGTCCTTTTATGTCAGTTCAGGCTTGAAGTGTTTCCCACAGTCTGAACATTCACATGGGTTCTCTCCTGTATGGATTCTCTGGTGTGTGATAAGCTTCAGTCTCTGGCTGAACCCTTTCTCAAAGACTGAGCGCTGGAATGGTTTCTCTCCAGTGTGGGCTCTCTCATGATCCTGGAGGTGAGACCAACAGCTGAACTTTTGTCACACTCTGGGCATTAATACAGCCTTTCGTCTGTATGGGTCCTCCTATGTAAAATCAGGTTTGATTGCTGGCTGAAGCTCTTCCCACACTCATGAGCATGTGTAGGGATTCTCTCCTGTGTGGATTCTCTCATGCGTAATCAGGCTGGCTGTTTGAGTCAAGTTCTTCCCAGAATCAGAGCAGACATAAGGTTTCTCATCACTACAAGTCCTCATTGAAGCTCCTCCCACACTCTGGGCATCTATAGGGTTTCTCTCCTATGTGTATCCACTGGTAGCTAACAAGGCCAGCTCTTTGGCTGAAACTGTTCCCACAGTACAAGAACCCATAGGGTTTCTTGGCTGAGTAAATTCTCTGATCTTCAGGAAGGCCAGTACCACTTCTCCAGAGCTGCCCACATTCAGTGCAGGCTGCTTGTCTCCCACCTTGAAGGGTTCTCTGCTGGACTGTCACTTCATCAAGTTGCTGCTAAAATGGAGGATGACACATTGATTTTTCACTTTCCTTCACTGGCTGATTTCCTAGATGGCTCTCAGAGACTTCCCACCAATCATGTCCATGGGAAATATTCTGCTGCAATTTTCCTGATGATGTCTGATCGGTTTCCACGTCCCCAGAGACTTCTAGTTGGATTTTCTCTTCCTTTGAACTGCTCTCCTTCTAGAATAAGGGAAGGAAATGATTCTCTGAACTAGCGTGATCAAGATATCCCTTTTGTGCCAAGAAAGTCATATCCCTTGAAATGCATTCTCATGGAAACGCTTTTGTTAAACCCCAAAGGGCCCTGAGGTCATAAAGCATCTCTTCATTTCCATTCATAGAATCATAGAATAGTCGAGTTGGAAGGGGCCATGAAGGCCATCAAGTCCAGCCCCCGGCCGTTGCAGGACACCACGTGACACCACCCCACTCATTTGTTACATTCCTTTAGCCAATAGCCAAAGCTCTTTGGGCACTTTGCAAAGATGTGGACCTTAAAAAGACTTTATAAAAACCATTTACAGTGGTGCCTCATATTTTGAACTTATTTTGTTTCAGGAGGCCGTTCGAGCTCCGAAGTGTTTGAAGTCTGAATCAATTTTCCCCATTAGAAATAATGGAAAATGAATTAATCTGTTCCCAGACCCTAAACAATACCCATTTTGATAAGCGTAAAGAGCAAATGGATATAATTTAAGGTAAAAATAACACAATGACACATCAAAATTATCAATTAAAGCTTGAAAACAATAAAATATGTAAATATGTACTGTATAAGAAAATGGAAATTGCATTTGCTGTACCTTAGTGAGGAGTGGTGATGTCTTCCGGTGTTCTCTCCCTCTTCTGCTTTTTAGCATTACTGGTTGAGGACTTTGCTTCACTTGGCCTTTTTTCTCCGGAGAAGAAGCTTTCCAATGGAGGCTGATGCTGGTGACTTTTCTGGATGTTCCTAAAGTATGCCATCACATTGTCATTAAAGAAGTTAATGCTCCTGTTCACCACTGCCGCATTAGGGTGCCACTTTTCCACAATGGCCTGCGTCCGAGCCCAAACAGAGCACAGTTCCTTGATTTCAGCACTGGAGATGCACCTCTTGGCTCCCTCTTCCTCCTCCGAGGAAATTTCCTCTGCCAGGTCTTCTTGCTGCTGATCGTGAAGGTGCTGAAGTTCTTCGATGGTGAGTTCGGCCTTGTGGTCCTCCACTAACTCCTCCACATCCTCCTCGCTCACCTCCAGCCCCATGGCCTTGCCCAGAGCCACAATTTCATTCACCACAGGCGCCGGCTCAAAGTCTTCGCAGTCTCTGGCTGAAATACAATCCGGCCAGAGTTTCTTCCAAGCAGACTGCATTGTCCCGAGAGAAACTTCCCTCCACGCTTTATCGATGACCCTTAAGCCATCGAGGAGATTGTAATGACCCTTCCAAAAGTCTCCGAGGGTCAGTTCTGTCTCACTGGTCGCCTCAAAGCACCTCTGAAACATGGCCTTGGTGTACAGCTTCTTGAAATTCGCGATGACTTGCTGGTCCATGGGCTGGATGAGAGAGGTGACGTTGGAGGGCAGGAACATCACCTTGATGAAGCCGGATTCGCCCACCAATTCTTCCTCCAAGCCCGGAGGGTGGGCAGGAGCGCTGTCCATCACCAGCAGAGCCTTCCGTGGCAGGTTCTTTTCGGCGAGATAAGCCCTCACGGAAGGCGCAAACACCTCGTGAATCCACTCAGTGAAGAGCCGCCTGGTGACCCACGCCCTCTCGTTCACCCTCCACATCACTCCGAGCCGGGTCTTCATCACGCCGTGCTTCCTGAGCACGCGTGGGTTTTCCGAGTGGTACACAAGCAGGGGCTTCACCTTGCAGTCCCCACTGGCGTTGCCGCAAAGCAGCAGCGTCAGCCTGTCTTCCATAGGCCGAGGCCCCGGCACGGCCTCCTCCTCGTCCGTGACGCAGGCCCCGCGAGGCACCCTCTTCCAGAAGAGGCCCGTCTCGTCGCAGTTGAACACTTGCTGAGGCACAAATCCCTCCCGCTCAACAAACTGCTGAAAGCTTTTCGCAAACTTTTCAGCTTCCCCCACGTTAGCACCAGCAGCCTCCCCGTGCATCACAACGCTGCGGATGCCAGTTCTTTTCCGAAACTTAGCAAACCACCCCCTGCTTCCTTTAAACTCCTCACTTTCAGCGCTGGTTCCAGGCGTGCATTTCTTAAGGTCGCTATACAGCTGCTTGGCTTTCTCGCAAATAATCTTCTCAGAAATGATATCGCCAGCCAATCGCTTTTCATTAATCCACACCAAGAGGAGTTGTTCCATTTCCTCAATAACATGTGATCTTCTGGACGTCAACGTCGTCACACCTTTAGCCACATTTGCGGCTTTTATCGCTTCCTTATTCTTAAGAATGGTGCACACCGTCGACTTGGGCATCTTAAACATGGCCGCCAGATCCGCCACACGCACGCCACTTTCATACTTCGCGATAAGTTCCTTTTTCACTGCGATAGTCGATATTACAACCTTCCTCTTAGGCTTCTTTGCTTCCATGCTCTTCCTGGATGCCATGGGCAATATGCAGGGGTTATAAATACAGTATAACCAAAAAATAAAGAGGAAAAAAGGCATTTTTTAATCCTAACTACAGAAAAGCATACAACACAAAACAATCTCACCATGTCCGTGCCAGTACTAGAACCAAAAAATAAAGAGAAAACAGCAAAAAATAAAGAGAACACACATGTAAACGGATGCACTGAAAATACACAAGCAAGAGATGACTTGGGCACACCACAGATTACATTTAGTTTATGTGGTGAATGTGTTTTTTTCACTGCACATGTAGTTTGAACATGGAAGCATCGTTCGAACGTTGGTGCACTTTTAATCTCGACTTTAGCGTTCGAACTCTGGATCATTCAAAGTTAGAGTCGTCCCAACTATAAGGCACTGCTGTATATACAAACAAATGAACAGAAAGCACACTTTCGACATTTTTAAACAGTAAGAGGCATCCAGGGCTGGATTAAAACCTTATCACTTGCCGCCAAATGCCTGAGAGAAGACAAAGGTGGTAACTGGTGCCAAAAAGACAACAAAGTTGGTGCCAGGCGGGTGTAATTTGGGAGTTCACTTCAAAAGGAATGGGCCACCACGAAGAAGGCCCTCTCCCTTGTTGCCGCCTTCCAGGTCTCCCTCCAAGGAGGTGCCTGGAGGACCTTAGATAGCGAATGCAGGATACGGATGGGCTCATGCCCAGAGAGGCGCCCCATCAGACCTGGTGGCCCTGAGCCAAGGAAGGCTTTCTGGGTCAAAACCAGCACTTGGGATCAGTCTCCAGAAAGAGGAACTGTCCCTGCTTAAGTGTCCATACCGGGACCAAACGTGCCGCCTGAGTCGTTCGGTCTGCCCATGGGCTACAAGCACAAATTTGAAACTCACGAGCTGATAGCGTGGGAACCGCCTTGGTGAGCCTCGCACCCCCCTAGGCCCGATTCGGTGCAGGACACCCTGAGCGAATACCTCTTTGAACACTGATGGTTCAAAGCCTGGCTGACACAGTCCTCCAGCTGAGGTCTGATGGAGTCCCCGCTGGGAACTCAGCTGACCCAGAAAGCCAGGCACAAGAATCCTTACCTGGCACAGGTGCGCCCCTGTGCTCCTCTTCTCTGAGTGCCTGAAAGACCAGCATGAGCCCCCTGGACACTGGCTCTACCTGGGGAAGGTGATCTGGCTCCTCCTTGAAGGTCCACGGCACCTGGAGTAGCAGCAAGAAGCCCAATTATTCAACTCACGTGCTGCCTGCCCAGGAGGCCTTTGTGCTACATGTTCTGCTCCCAAGCGCTGGGCTGCGCATGGTCCGGCCCCTGCCCAGAGTCCAAAACTCAGCAGGGGCCCATTCCAAACACCCCCCGGATTGCTTCTCCTCTCAGTCAAGGCAACACCACCCTGCCTTCCGGCCCTGCAGCTCCAAGACACCATGCAGGCCCTTTGCGAAGCTGCTCTTTATGGCACTACAAGGCAAAGCAGCTTTCAAACCCTCTAGGGAGCTAGAAGACAAGCCTCTGCAAATGTCAAGAGTGGTTGTTGAACCCCAAACCCTTCCCTTTCGGTAGCTCTGGGGCCCCACAGGGTGGCTCCCGCTGCAGAAGGGCCAGGCAGTGGGACACCGCAAGCCTTCTCTCTGTCGTTGACACACGTGAGAGAACAAGACGCTCCCAGCGAGAGCCAGGCCTTAGAGCAAGAAGATTTCTACTTGGTGCCCATTGCACAAACACCGCCCCCACCGCCTGACTTTGACGAAGTTTTTCTCCAGCTAGAAAGAGCCGCATTCTTCATGGAGATAACGCTGTGGGATGGCCTGTTGCCATGGAGAATGCCCAGCTGAGAAGACTGGCATTTGAGCCAATTAGAAGAGAGGCAAAGCCAAGGGAGGAGGCAGAGGGGCTTATCTAGCCCGGAGGGGCGCTCATAAATCTGGGATAGGTCAGAAAGGAGGGGGCAACTGCTTGGAACTGCCATTAACAGCTCCTGCATTACTCATTGCCTGCGTTCCTTTGAAGTTGTTTAGAATACAAGGCTTTAAACCTTTATTGCCTGTTCCTGTGTGAGTAACTAGGAAGAGTGCTCTGGCCTCATGACACTATCTGGGCAGCTCATCTCTCCCGGTGCCTCCTCATGGGGCCAGGGGCTTAGCAAGGCAACACTCTTCCTCCTCCTCTTCGACCTTTCCCATCCCTTTCAGAAGATCTCTGCTCTCTTGGTCAGCCTGGGAGCCCACGGGCAGCGACCTTGAAGGCCCTGCACAGGTTCTGCCTCTCCCCGAGTTTCCACAACCCCCATCGCCGAGTCCTCAAGGTCATCGTCACCTTCAGAACCTAGGCCACGGAGACCCCACGATGGTGCCATGGGCGTGACAAACCCTCAGGAGAAGCCCAAGGGACCCTTGAAATATGGAGCCGGCCCTGTCAAGGGCCTGCCACCCACCCAGGTGACCGACAGGGCCAAACCTGCCCAAGGTGCACAGGGGCAGGAAAAGGGGAAGGAAGCAGGGACAGGAACAAGAAAGGTGTACAAAATGATGCCTGGTGTACAGGAAGTGGAATGCGAGATCTTTTTCTCCTTCTGTAACACTAGAACCCAAAGGGGTCATCTCATGAAGCTGATGGATGGGAGACTCAGGATTTATCAAAGGAAGGATTCCTTTACATGGCATAGCACTGAACCATGGAACTCACTTTCACAAAATGTTGTGACAGTCACCTTTGCAGAGGGGGCTGGAAAAATTCCTGGAGCGAATGCCCCAATCTTGGGCAGATTGGGGCACTGGAGAAATTCTGAGGGGAGTTCTTCAGAAGCCATCCGTGGTTACTAGTCCTGAGGGCTACATGCTGCCTCCAGTCTCAGAGGCATGTGCCTACACACACCAGTTGCTGAGGAACACGGGTGGGAGGGTGCTGATCCCTCATGTCCTGCTTGTGGCTGTCCTGAGGGCAGCTGGTAAGTTCCTGCAGGACCAGAATCTTGGCTGAATGGACCCTGGTCTGACCCAGGCCAGCTCTTATGCCCCAAGAAATTGGGGCATTTACCCACATGCCCCAGGCAGATTTTCAAACACGCCGTTTGTTTTGTACAAGAAATCTGCACAACGAGGGCTGCGGTTGGTGGAACAATGTGTTGTGCAGCACTATTTGGGCGTAAATATTGAAAAGGATTTGTACTATCACAGAACGCAGAGTTCAGTTCCTAAGTTCTGTAGTCCCCTCGATCATCTGACTCTGGAGGGTTCAGGGCCTCCTTTCCCAACCCAGCTGGTCCAGCGGATCCTGACACTCGGGATGAGCCGCCTTCTGCTTTATTTACTGCATTTTTATACTGCCTAACAGCCGAGACTTCCCTGTCCTGCACCCAACGAGAGAGAGCCACTGCTCCATGCTCCTGAATGAGTTACCTCTGGCAGTCTCCTGCCCGTCTCCCTCCTCCTGCCGTTGCTTCTGCTGCAGCAAGCCTTCCACCAAGACCACGGCCTGGGAGCACGTCTCCAGTTCCAAAGCTTTGATCCTGCTCCTGATCTCCCTTGGCAGGATGGCCAGGAACTGCTCCAGGACCACCAGCTCCACAATTTGCTCCTTGGTGCGTGTTTCAGGCATCAGCCACTGGTGGCAAAGTTCCTGGAGCCTCTGGCAAACATCTCGGGGCCCCTCCGCTTCTTGGTAGGAGAAATGCCGGAAGCGCTGGCGCTGGAGCTCTGCCACAGGGGTCTTCCTGTCCGGGATTTCTTCTTCTTTCACTGACCCACAGCCTGGCTGTTCTTTGCCCGGGAGGATTACATGTGATTCCACACAGAGGCCTGGGAGTACTTTCCTTTCTGTTGTGGGCTGCCATGCAGGGTCAGTAGCTTCCCCCGAATCAGACGGGACGGGCACGCCATGGTACTCTTGCGCTGGCTGTGCAACCCCGTGCAAATGAGGGAGCTCGAGGGCTCGCACAAACCCTTGAAGCTGGGCTTCCCAGCACTGTTGGCGCTCATCAGGCTCCTGTTTAAGTTCTTGAGGGTCAGTTCTTTCCCAGAATCCTCTAGTGTCCCCTGCCTGGATGGCAATGTGGCCTTTTCTGGCCTCTTGGCATGGTGGCTCCACTTCTTCCAGTTTCATGCCATTCTTCCAGGTAGCTTTTAAATGGGCTCCCAGTGCCGACAGGTCTCCCCGCTCCTCGGCCATCTTCCCTCGCAGAGCCTGACTTGGCACAGCCAGCTCAGAACAGAGAAGTGGAGAGAATCGTCTTCCACTCAGATGGATGGGGAGCTTAGGATGCCAGATTACTGAGAGAGACTTTTCCCTAAGGGAAGAAAACAACGTGTAAAAAAAAAAAAGAGAGAGACAAGATTAGGAGGCCCGAGACCCGTATCAAGCTCACCCCATCCAAACCTCAGGTCTCAAGGCTCTCCCATCCAGCCCACCAAAGCCCCACCTTTTTCTGAACCTTCACCCCTTGGGAAAAGCAGTGAGAGATGGAAACAGGAGACCTTTAAGTAGCAGTTCAAAGAATCATGGAAAACAGTGGTACCTTGGCTCACGAACTTAATCCTTTCCACGACTCTGGTCATGACCCAAATTGGTCCTGAGCCAAGACAAATTTCCCCATAAGGTTCAATGTAAATAAGGTTAATCAGTTCTGTAACCATTTTTTTTAATCACAAAAATTTGAAACCAAGTGACAAAGAACAACAAAGTAACAAAGAACAGCAAAGATCGCAGCCATCTCCCCTCCCTCCCAGCACGACGGTGATCATCACCCAATGTGGAGTTCGTGACCTGAGGCAAAATTTTTCTGAAATTTCTGTTCACGACCTGATTTGGTCGTGAACTGAGGCGTTTGTGAGCCGAGGTACCACTGTAGTAGGATTGGAAGGTGCCAAGGCCCCCAGGCCTGACCTGCTGCTAATGCAGGCCTCCAAGTTACAGCTTCCCACTCAGATGACTGCCCAGTTGCCTCCTGGATGCATCCAATTAAACAACATTCGATCGGTTTTATCTTTGATTTTATCATTAATGGTCAGATGCGGTGTGTTGTTTGTTGGTATGTTGTTTGTTTTTGTAAGCTGTCCAGAGACTCTGGTGTTGGACTGCACATAAAAACTTTAAATAAAAATGAATAAAATAAAGAGCCCTTCCCCAGGGGAAGGCAGGGAAGACTTCACAAGCAAGTGACAAAGAGAGAGAGAGCGAGAGAGATGGGCATATAAAATCTGCTCAAAATATCTGTAGAACCACCTCCTCCATGCTGTTCTGCCCATGCACCAAGATCTTCAGAGAGGGCCTTCTCCAATCACTACCACAGGGATTCACACGTAAGGCCATAACATGGGGCAGGGTCTTATTTGTGGTGGCACCGATTTTGGATTGCTGTAGAGGGGACTTAAGCTCTCACACATCACGGTCTGTTCAGACAGCTCCCTCCAGGGCTAGGGAGAAAGCAGAGGTGCAGCAATGGGCAGACGGCTTGTCAATCTCAGGCAAAGTGTGAGAACCAGACTGCCTTGGGGAAAAAAGGAGATTTTTCAGCTCTGGGAGGGGGCCACAGGAGAAGCAAGGTGGGCAGGTAAGAATTAAGAAGCCTGAGGGTGCAGTCAGAATCATTCCCGAAAGGGAAGGAAGGAGGGAGTTTCAGTTTGGATTCAACTCCGTACTGATGCTTTTCCCCACATCTCGAGGACGTGCCCTGATTTATATTCTTCTGCAGTCATTAAGTTTTAATAAACAGACTGTGCTTCCTTTCCTCTGTGTCAGCTCAAGAGGAAAAGAAAGAGGGAAGACCAGTTCGCTACAATTGCCTTCTCAAAGACATGACTGGTACCAAACGTTCTTTTCTTTTTGCAGCCAAATTAAAATGACCTTCCTTTATTTGGCTAGGGCATTCGAACAGCTATTTTAGTTTCTTCGTATGTTCGATCTAAGCTCATTTCAAACTGAAAAGACAGCTGTGTTTTCTTTCAGCTGGCTGGCTGAAGAATTGCTGTTTGAGTCTATTTTTTCCTGTGTAATAGTAGATTTATGGATGCATACATTGCTCTAGGATTCCTCGTAGAGAAAGGGAAGACTATATTCTAGAAATTAATAAATTAAATAAGAAGGTGGAGATAGATAGATGGTGTGTGTGTGTGTGTGTGTGAGAGAGAGAGAGAGAGATCCTTGACCCACCCACTTTTGCTTTGATCCTGCACAACGTTGGCAAATGCTGAAGTCAACCAGAAAGAGCCAATCCTGCGGTTTCTCTCCATACCCCAAACAGCTCATTTCCCCTCTCCCTTCCCCCACAAAAAGCCTTTCCATTTTTCATTCTCCCACTGCTGTGGTTCTGGCCTTGTTCAACAGATTACTTGTTACCTGAATTTATTTACTGAAGCTGCCTCGCAGCATGTCAGATCTCTGCTCCTTCTCAGCCTGGACTGTCAATACAGACAACCCCTGCTTCGTAGGGATTCAGGCAGTGGGTCTTTCCTAGTCCTGCCTGGGATGTGGGAGGCTGAACAGGAACCTTCCGCATGCACAGCATACACTCCATCACACTCAGCTATTATCCTTCACCTAAAAATTAAGTAAGTTTCTAGTCCTCATGGCTCTGAACAAAGGGAGAGGTAAACTGGAATATGGGACTACTGCCTTCTATTGAGTTGGATCCTGGATCCTTCCAGCCTGGTGTTGCTGACACAAACCAGCAGCTGCTCTCCAGGATTTTAGGAAGGCTTTTTTCCTGCCTGGCGAATCCAAAATTGAAACAGATCTTCTGCATGTAAAGTAGGGACTCCCCGCGCCATCTCTTCCTCAATCTGCCCCCACTTCCAGAAATGTTAGACTACATCTCCCACCATCCCCAAGCCAGTAAAGCCTTCAGAATGCAGTGGACTGGGGGCAGGGTCACCTTGCCCACTGTGAGTATCTTCAATCCAAAAGCGGTCCCATTTCTCCCTACTGCAGATCAAGGCCCCTTAAAAAAAAGCACCACCACCTTGGACAAAGGAACCCGAAGCATGTGCGGGGACCCCAAACAGGGGATCTTCCATGCCAGACTCAGGGAACTCTGTGCCTTCCAGATGCTTCCGTTTGCTTTACATGCTTCATTGTGGTTTCCAATGCGGATCTGCTTTTGTTACGACAGGGTACTGTGAGAAAAACCAAGAAAAAATGTTAAAAACAGTGGGGATCATTTTTATAGAGTTGGAGAGGGGGCCTCCTAGGTCTTCTCATCCACCCTCCCCATTTGGATTTCCTCTCTGATGCAGCCAGATGGATGTCTGAAGACCTCCAGCCAAAGAGAACCAGAGATCCTCTGAGGTCAGTGGTAAATGGATTGGGATTGTTGGGAAATTCAGATTAATCCTGGCAGAAAAAAGGCTGCTTATATGTGCCTTTGTTTCATAAAATCAAACCTGCACCCCTTTCTCAGAAGGTAGCAGAATTCCAAGCCAGATCACTGTTTAGCATTGCTGTTACTTTTACGAGATTGGAACTCCACCAGCTCGCCTGAGAGGCTGCAAGGGAAGTTAATCCTTCTCTGTTCTCTTGCTGATGAGCAACAGCTGATAAGGCAGCTAGAGAAGTTTTTTTTAGCTTGAACCATAAGGAAGGCTGAGCACCAAAGAATTGAGGCCTTTGTATTGTGGTGCTGGAGGAGACTCCTGCGAGGTCCCTTGGACCGCAAGGCGATCAAACCGGTCAGTCCAAGAGGAGATCAACCATGACTGCTCTTTTGAAGGCCAGATAGTGAAGATGAAACTCAAATACTTTGGCCACCTAATGAGAAGGAAGGACTCCCTGGAGAAGAGCCTAATGCTGGGAACAATAGATGGCAAAAGAAGGAGGGGACGGCAGAGGATGAAGTGGCTGGATGGAGTCACTGAAGCAGTCGGTGTGAGCTTAGGTGGACTTCGGGGGATGGTGGAGGACAGGAGGGCCTGGAGGAATGTTGTCCATGGGGTCGCAATGGGTCGGACACGACTTCGCGACTAGCAACAATATATTCTGGAAGTTTGCAGCTGGTTTCAACCTCTACCTGCCAGTGCTGTTCACAAGGTTTGTCTCTGCAGAGGGTACCCGAGGGCTCAATCTAATAAATCTGCTGAGGTTCGGAACAAAATCTGTCCCCCGGTGAATCCGAGCACAGACTCCTTGGAACTGGAATTCCAAGGCTCTGACAGGATCTATCACTGGATCTCTGATTTGCAGCAGATGGCAAGGATTTCAGATACGCTATTGCGATAATGAAGAGAAAGCCTCAGCCGTTCTCATCGGGGGGGGGGCCTACTTGGGCTGCAAGCCCTTGGCAAGTGCCAAATTATGCCTACCTTTGGCACCAGTCCTGACCAAGGCAACCAAAGAAGTCCGCCCCCTCACCAGACATGAAGCTAGATCAGAATTTTGTAGCATGTGAATTGGCTGCTTCCTCAAACTGGTCCCCTTCCTTCGATTCAGACTTCAAGCCCCATCAGTTCTACTCAGCCTGGCCAATGATTAGGGACTCTGGGGACTGTAGTCCAATAATCTAGGTCTTCTCTTTTTAACTTGCCTGATACTCGACGCAGAAGAGTCTCCTGCAACCTTCTTTGCAGAGGCGTGCAAAAACCAGGAAATTCTCACTCCTCTTCCTCCTTGGCACGTGCGGGGGGGGGGCTGCACGTCCCTTCTAGCAATCTGAACTCGCTCTGTTTAACCCTCAAGGAGCAGGGAGATGCACTCCCTGCTCCTGGGAGAGCACGAGGGCTCTCACGCACGGGGGCTCTCGGCGAGAGGATCCGCGTGCGGACCCCCCAAAAGGCAAGCGCCACCAGCTGGCGGAAGGTGGGACTGAACGATTAAATAACACGCGTGCACGTGCCCCTGGTCGCGTTTGCGACGCGGAAAGGGACGGTGCGCAAGAGGAAGGAAGCCGAAGCTGCCTGCGAAGATGCGAGCGTCTCCGGGGGCGGGCGGACCTTTGGCGCTTCCAGCCCGAAGCTGCCCGGCACCGGGAGGGGAGGCGCAAGGCGGTGGCGGCGGCAGGAGCAGGGCAGGGGCAGGAAGGGCAGGCAGAGGGGGCGGAGGGGCATCTGGGCTCCCTCGCTCAGCCCGCCCAGCTGGCGTTGCACCCGCGTCGGCACAGGCGCGCCTCCCCGCGGGGAAAGGCACACGCGATTTCCACGCGAAGCGGCTCGCACCCCTTCCCAAGGGAGGGCTTCTCCCTGGGAATGCGAAGCGGCTCCGCAGCGCCCCTCAGCCGCGGCGCCCATCCCAGGCGGTTCTCACGTGCCCGCCGGTCCCCTCCGACTCATGGCGACCCTCTGCGCGAGCGCCCTCCAAATGGCCCGTTTCGTGGCAGCTCTTGCGGGCTCGGAGCTGTGGCTCCCTTTAGGGGATCGGCCCAACTCTGAGTTGGTCTTCAGATCCCCCTTCCATGGCTAAAGGAAACAATCCCGTCCGTGTTTAGGCAGGGAAAAAAGCCTACAACTCCCAGCATTCCCTGCCTCTTAATCCGCTGCACCGCCAAGGGTCCCCCCCATGGAGCTGATGAGGAAAGGGAGGACTTCTCCACCGCGCTCGCCGTGAAAGTGTGAGGTCTCCCGTCCGCCCGATCTAGCAGTGACCTTCCCTGCTACTCTGGCGACTGGGCAGATCCACGGAGCCTGGCTCATCAGGGGCTACTTCTGGTGGCCACCCTGCGTCCCATCTCGGAGGCAGGCAGCCATGTGCCCCAGCTGCTGGGGAACATGGGTGGGAGGGTGCTGCTGCATACAAGGGGTGTTCCTGTGGGCAGAAGGAAGCAGAAGGGGCCCTGGCCTGATCCAGCAGACCCTTCCTGAGTTCTTCAAGGCTGGCGATCTACCTGCTGAAATTCATCCAGCGGGCAGAGATGAGCCATCTTGAACCCCATTGACAAAAGCAGCAAAGAAACTTCGAGCCTTCTGGTGTGCACTTGTGAGGACTGTGTGGCTCTCTTCATGTGTCTGGCAAAGTTGGTTCTAACCCACAAAAGCAAAATCCCTTGAAAACCTGTTAGTCCATAAAAGGGTGGTCCAGCTTTTCATAACTTGAGGGCCGCATGAGGAGTTCGACACAGAACCTGGCGATCACACAAGTTCCATATAGTAAATTAAAATGTTCTCAGTTATTCATTTAATATACGCAATTAATATATTGCAATAGCTATTAAATGAGGGTCTCTGCAGAAATCACAGACAGCTCCTCCTCTGACCACAGCCCAAGCACAAAGACTGCTTCTCTGGGGTTTCTCCCACTTTGGTCCCTTCTTCCTTCTTGGAATGGGCAAGCTAAGCCTCTTGTCAGCTGGATCAACACGGGGCATGCTGGGAAAAGCTCTCACCACCTTTACGGGGCATGCTGGGAAAAGCTCTCACCACCTTTACGGGGCATGCTGGGAAAAGCTCTCACCACCTTTATGGGGCATGCTGAGAAAAGCTCTCAGCACCTTTCTGGAGGGAACCGCTCCAATTATTATTATTATTATTTATTATTATTATAACATTTCTATGCCTCCCCTTGCTGAAACCTCGGGGCGGCTTACAACACAATAAAATACATTGAAATACAATAGAACATAATAAATTACCATTAAATACAAAAATACAAAAAATACACTGAGTTACAAATATAAAATTAAAATTATCAGTATAAAATAAGTAAATAAAAATATAGGAGGAGAAAAGAGAAGGAAGAAGAAGTTGCCCTGGCCAGATCATATGTTTTAACAATTAAAATGATGTTTAAATAAAAAGGTCTTTACCTGGCGCCGAAAAACCAGTAACGACGGTGCCAGGCGGACCTCTTTGGGGAGTGAATTCCATAGGTTGGGCGCCACCACAGAGAAAGCCCTCCTCCAAGTACTTACTCTCCTAATTTCTTTCATGGAGGGTTCCTGGAGAAGGGACTCTCCCGCAGATCTCAAAGGGCGGTCGGGCATATATGGACGTAAGCGCTCGTTCAGGTAGCCAGGACCCAAGCCGTTTAGGGCTTTATAGGTCATAACCAACACCTTGAATTGGGCCCGGGCTTCAATGGGAAGCCAGTGAAGCTGACGGAGGACTGGAGTCATGTGAGCATAACGCCCCGTCCCCGTCAGCAACCTGGCAGCTCTATTTTGAACCAATTGAAGTATCTGGACCGTCTTCAGGGGAAGCCCCATGTAAAGCGCGTTACAGAAGTCAAGGCGGGAAGTCACCAGCACGTGTGTCACCGTCGCCAGGCAGTCGTACTCCAGGTAGGGGCGCAGCTGATTAATCAGCCGAAGCTGAAAGAAGGCGTTCCTCGCCACCGCTGTCACCTGAGCTTCCAAAGAAATCTCCGGGTCGAGGAGTACTCCTAAGCTGCGGACCTTATCCCTAAGAGGGAGTGTTGCACCATTCAGGACCAGGTCAAATCCACCCTCTCCGAAACCCGATCCGCCAACCAACAGGACCTCCGTCTTGTCTGGATTGAGTTTCAGTTTATTGGCCCTCATCCATTCCCTTACCTCGGCCAAGCACCGGTTCAGCACAGCCACTGCCTCACCTGGATTAGTGGAAAATGAGAGGTAGAGCTGGGTATCATCAGCGTATTGATGATTCCGCAGCCCACACCTCTTAATGACCTCTCCCAGCGGTTTCATGTAGATGTTAAACAGCAAAGGGGACAAAATGACCCCTGCGGTACTCCATGGCATAGCTACCATGGCGCAGAGCCATAGTCCCCCAGCACCACCTTCTGGAATCGGCCGTTGAGATAGGAGCGGAACCACTGCAAAGCAGTGCCTCCGACCCCCAATCCCGCTAGCCTATCCAGAAGGATACCATGGTCGATGGTATCGAAGGCCGCTGAGAGGTCCAGAAGAACCAACAGGGACGCACTCCTCCTGTCCTTCTCCCTGCACAGGTCATTGTACAGGGCAACCAAGGCAGATTCTGTACCGTACCTGGGTCTGAAGCCGGACTGAAATGGGTCCAGATAATCAGTCTCATCCAAGAGTGCTTGGAGTTGTCCCGCCACCACCCGCTCTAACACCTTGTCCAGAAATGGGATGTTGGCCACTGGTCTATAATTAGTGGCCATCTCTGGATCCAGTGACGCTTTCTTCAGGACCGGTCGTATTACCGCCTCCTTTAAAGGGGCAGGCACTCGACCTTCCCTCAGAGAAGCGTTAACCACTTCCAAGATCCAGGTCCCAATCCCGTGCTTGGAGTTATTTATTAACCAAGACGGGCAAGGATCCAATAGGCAAGTGGTGGGACATACTCGTCCAAGCACCTTGTCCACCTCATCGGGGCGCAATAATTGAAATTCCTCCAATAATTTTGGACCAGATGGTAGCATTGGCGTCTCCCCAGAGACCTCTGATTCATTAGTGGAGTCCAGCTCGTGAGTGAGTGGGGCACTTTGAAAAGGCAGCTACTAGCTCAAGGCCCGCCAAATGTGAACTGGGCAGCCAGAAACGGCTCTGTGTTGCCGCAGAGAAGGGGGTGCCTCTGCCAGCCACTCCCCAGTGCTGCTTGGGCACTCCTGGGAGGTGAGGCAGTAGCCAGGGATAGCTCAGCAGCAAGAGGTTTCTTGCCAGTTTTGCTGAGTGAATTCCTGGACGTGGGACTTCATGTGATCCACCCCCCATGTGCAGGTGATAAAACAACCGACTGTGCTCAGAATAAAACCCACAACAGCCCATGGGCTCCCAGCATGGACAGTTTGAAAACAGTATTGTAATGATTTAAAATTATATGAGTGTGTTCCTTTAAAATTTGGTAAGTGCCGGGGCAGTTTGCTAGAGGCACATGAGAGTAAAGCGAAAAAGGGTTGAATGGATTAAGCCAGAAGCAAAAGAAGAACTTTCAGACAGGCAAATCTTTGTGTATTTAAAGTGTATTGCGTGGGGGACTTGCAACAAATTCTCTTGATCAGATCAGGGTCCCATCTTAAATCTTAAGCTGTTCTTAGTCTCAACCATATTATTTCGTCTTGTCAATGTCCTAATTGATTTCCAATTTTAATTGTGGCCTTTTTGGGCATCTCTGGACAGGAAAACCACTAAGCATACACATGCGAGCACCAGCCTGTGTTCCCCACACAGATACCAGCAAAGAGCTTGCTAAATCTTTTGACTGATTTGGTAGTCCTGCATAGACTCCGGTCGGCCTTTTTTCAAAATGGCGTCATTGCCGCCCTTCCCTAACTAAATGAGAGCTAGTGTGGCATAGTCGTTAAGAGTGAGGGACTGGGACTCAGACGATCTGGGTTCTAGTCCCCACTCAGCCATGGAGCCAACTGGGTGACTCTGGGCCAGTCACAGACTCTCAGCCCAACCTACCTCACAGGGTTGTTGTTGTGGGGAGAAGATGGAGGAGGAGAATGATGTAAGCTGCCTTGAGCCCTTTGTAGGAAAAAGACAGGATATAGATCGAAAAATAAATAAATAAATAAATAAATAAATAAATAAATAAATGCTGACTTCTCCACTTCTTCCAAGAGGGGTGAGTGTTTGCAAGAACGTCTCCAGGTCCGCTCTCCTTCAGGATGGTCACACGGGCTTAAGTTGGCCTCTTCCAAAATGTCCGTGTGGAGGCGCAAAGCCAGGAAGGATCATCAGAACGCCTGCCCTCTCCCAAAACCTAGGTTTCCAGCTGTATAATGTGTGAGTGGGTCCTAGTGGTGTGGGAGAGAATGGGCTTAGGGAAGTATAAAGCAAGGCTGTGCTTTGAACAACGAACTGGAGAAAGGGAGATATGCTCAACAGAATAATTGGATGTGCTTTCATTGTTAACCTTCAGACAACTTCGTCGTAGCTTTGTACCCCTCTCTCACATCTCCTCTTAGTTCTATGCATGCATAATGTTCCTAAGGAACATTAGTTTTTGCAAGGGATCAAGGAGCGTTACATAATCTTCTGTCCATTTCATTCGTACAACAACCCTGCAGGGTAGGTTAGGCTGAATGTCTGTGAGTGGCCCAAAGTCACCCAGTGAGCTTTATGGCTTGGTGTGGTGGCCTGGGGTTTGGATCTCCCAAGCCTCAGTCTAACCCTCTAAACACTGCATCGCACTTTCTTTCCTAGGTCTTCTCTCTTGTAAGTGAGGAAGACTCTGAGATTATAAACTCTGCTCATGGAGGAGCTTCTCCAGCGGGGCTGAGAGAGGAATCCCGACCATGAGTGCCAGTCAGAGTCAAGAGAACTGGACTATGTGGATCCAAAATGGCACCCCTGGGACAGGTTTATGTTATGTTAGTCGTGAAGTCGTGTCCGACCCATCACGACCCCATGGACAACATTCCTCCAGGCCTGCCTGTCCTCCACCATCCCCCGGAGTCCACTCAAGCTCACGCCGACTGTTTCAGTGACTCCATCCAGCCACCTCATCCTCTGCCGTCCCCTTCTTCTTTTGCCATCAGTTGTTCCCAGCATTAGGCTCTTCTCCAGGGAGTCCTTCCTTCTCAGACATTATATGTTATGTTATTCGCGAAGTCGTGCCTGACCCATCGCAACCCCATGGGCGGCATTCCTCCAGGCTCTTCTATCCTCCACCATCCCCTACGCATATGGAAATTAGTACAAGCAAACCATACTGTTCTGGTTTCTTCATTTCCTGGTCCTGATGCCCAGATCTTTTTCGTTCTCAGCAACCAATCCTAAGGTGGTGGAGCAGGAGAATGCGGGATGGAGCCGGGGTCTGCATGGCAGGGAGCTTTTCTCTTTCAGCCTGGCAAACCTGCCAGGATTACGGTGAAGGCAAAGGGGAGGGATGCAGGGACGATGTATGTGGCCTCGAGCCCCTTGAAGGAAAGGGGTGCATGAATGTGCATTCACATTCATTTAAGAGAAATCTAAAAAAAAAATCCAAAATCAGAGAATACTGAAGAACCGGTGCAATGCAAAACTGGGCGATCTGGGTTCTAGTCCCCAGACAGGCACAAGGTCCACTGGGTGACTTTGGATGACTCACGCTCTTGGCATAACCAACCTCACAGGGCTGTTGTTATGAGGAGGAAATGAAGGATCACAGAGATCACCTTGGAAAGGAGGTGTAGGGGTGTGTGTGTGTGTGTGAGAGAGAGAGAGAGAGAGAGAGAGAGACTGAACTGCTATAGGCAGCTTCCCTTCTCTTCTTTTTCCTGCATCTCCCACCAAAAAGCGTCATGCGATGGCTGATTTGCATCTGGAACATGGGTCCTCAAGCTACGGCCCATGGGCTGGATCCAGCCCGCCATAGAGGTTTTGAACTTGCCGTGCATGCGCATGGCGAGACACTGGCTTGCTTGCAAGATCGTTCTGAACTCGCTCGGAGAAAGTGATCTCTGCCCACGCCTGCCCCTGCCTTGCTGCGCGCCCCCCCCCCCCACCGCCTTGGCGGCCCGCACCCATCGCCAGCACCTTTCAACTGGTCCCGTTCAGAAAGTCCGAGGATCCCTGGTCTAGAATAATGAGGGAGATATTCGCACTCCCCATTTCTTCATATCATAAACACTTTTATTCAATTAATAAAGAAGCATTAATTCTCTCCAGGTGCACTTCAGCTTCAAAATGCTGGTAAATTACAGCCTTTTAGTACCAGATATGCTAGTTCAGCAAACGGGATGCAGCTTAAGTTTCCTATGGTGAAACTACTTCCAGCTTCAACGCTACCTTGGAACTGGATGGATGTGGGGGAAAGCAGCAGAGCGAAGGCCCAAGTTGGTCTGTTCTCTGGAATAAGCACAGGATGAGCCGTGTTGGTTTAGACTTGAAGGTCCATCTAGGCCAGTATTCTGTTTGTATGGAAGTGGCCAAAAAGTTGCCTGTGGAAAACCCGCACGCACAACTGGAGTGTAACAGCACCCATGTTCCCCAGCAGGCATACAGCCTCTGATCTGGGGGTAAAATATAGCCATGAGGACTAGCAGCCATGACTAGTTTTTCCAATCTCCTCTGAAAGCCATCCCAGTTGGTGGCAAGGACTACATCTTGTGGGAGGGAATTCCAGAGTATAACCATGGACTGCAGGACAAGGGGCCTTCCTTGGATCTGACCTGAAGGTCCCACCCATCAGCTTCCTGGGATGACCCTTTGGGGTCTAGGATGACAACAGCAGAAAAATGTCTCCCTCTCCACCGTGCATAAACACCTCTGTCACATTTGGAGACGCTGCAACCGTTCCTCAGAGTGGGTTTGTTCCAGGAACCGGGCCAGTGACGAGAGAGGAACAGCGAGGCGACCATGGCAAGGAGCCTTCTGTTTTGGAGAGATTTTATTAAGCTTCAGAAATAATGAAGAGGAGAAAAACTACCCAAGAGCCTGAAAGATACTCAAAATGAAGCATACGTCTATTCAAAGCAAAAAAGCTAGAGATTAGAAAAGACAGGGAGAACATTACCACTGTAAAGGAAGAAATCTGCAAAAGGGGAATAAAAGTAGAGAGAGCTGATTTGGATGTTGGAGCAACGATTTAAGAGAGCAGTGGGGCCGATCTTCCCTTTCCTGCCAAATATAATTCATAGTGGGGCAAGAATCTTGCCAGTCATCACACCCGTAGCCTGAAATAAACCTAGAATGCAAAAATCGTTATGGAAATTGGGGTGCCCCGGATAGAGATACTGCAGCACTGTAAGGAAGAGAGAAAAAGGCGATTCGCCCACCTTTTCCGCAGATGCTGCAGTCCCATCAAGGCAACGGCATCCCCCAACTGGAATTCATCCTGAACGCTTATATAGGGGTGGGCAACAGTGCCCATTTGGACCTGGCATCCCATTTTGTTTTGGTTCTGAAAACGAGCTTTCCCCGCCTGTCTCGCTTGCAGGTCCGGCGCCTAACCTAGCCCTCTCCCTGACACACAAACTTACCATAAAACAGGAACTAAATTTGGCCCTCTGGGCACTCAATACGGATTAACATTTCTATATTTTTTTTAAAAAAGGGAATTTGGGGAGGGGATCCCGTGTGGCCTGTGGACCGGATGTCGCCCATCCATATTACAGTCTGGGGTGGTATAGTCCCACAAGCGTAACAGTCCTCGTCCCATTCAACCCAACTGTGGTTCCGACCAAGCCCGTTCAGGCAAGATTGTGATGGCGCAAGGAGGTGGAACTGCTCAGGAAAAACATCCCCTTCGGGCGAGCAGCTCAGAAAGGGAAGATTTGGAAAAGGGAACCTCCAGTGGGAGGCGGGTTTAGTTCAGGGCAGGCCTCTGGGGGCCCCCATGGCAAGGCCAGGAGCCATTTTTGACCCATGCATTGAACTGGCCCCATGTTAAAATGTTGGGGGGGGAGGCTGTGCCCACTGTAAATTGGGGTGCTGCTGGCACTGTCCTGCCAATTCTCTCTCTCACTCCCAACCTTACAGAGATGCACACATACAAAAAATTCTGTGACACCTCTGAGTGGATTCTTGCAGGTCCTCGGATGGGGAGTTTTTCCTGATCTGCAAAATGGACCCCCTTTCCTCTCCCAGTGCTAGGTGGGGAAGGCAGGCAACATCTGGGGAAGAAGCTTGGCAGGCTGCCTAAGAAATGCCCGTGGGCCCCCAACTCCCCGTCTCTGCTCTATGCAGCCCCATCATGTGCAGATTCTATACAGCCCTTTTCCACACCTTGAAGTGGAGGTAGTGCGGTCCAGAATCCAACCAGTTCATGCCATGCGAATGTGGCACGCTATGGGAGCAGCGGGTGTGCAGAGGGGGCTCTGGGAAGAGGGGGACCCCGGCCATACAGCCAAGAGCTTGCTGAGCAGACTCCCACTACAGCCCGTGGCCAATTCTTCTCTTGTCCTTGGAAGGCACATCTGTAGCATCGATTCCAGGGGGCTCCTGTCACACCTCCCTTTGCAAAGGACTCTGGGAACTGTAGTTCCACAGACAGGATGAGGCTTCTTAGATGGAGACTTTCTGCCCCTTTCACAGAACTCCCAGATCCTTGGGAAGGCACCAGGACTCTTGGAACAGGGCCGAGTCTGGTTTAAGCCCTGTCCTAAAATGAAGGTGGGTTTTATTCAGTGCAGAGGAAACTAGACTTCTGGACTGTAACCACTTCGGAGGGAAGGGTATTATATGGGTTGGGGGTGGCTGGCATGCTTCCATCAGGGAAAAAATGAATTTCCCTGCATGTAGAAAACAAAGCATTAAGGTTTGGGGTAGCATAACCCTTTCCACAATATGCTTTTCTGTCTATGTGAGTGGCAGGACACCCCCACAGCACCAACCCCCCCCCCCCACAAATAATTGTGTCAGCAGAGGCTACAGAGCACTATTTCGTTTTCAAAATAATTTCTGTGCTCTTTAGTAAGTGCAGAGCACCAACAGAATAGGAATGTTTAAAAGTCAAAATGTTTACTCCAGATGTGTGTGTGTGTGGGGGGGGACTGTGTGTTTTTTCAGGACCTGGTCTTTGTGCAGGGAGGTTTTATTTGAGAAGGATTTTTAAAAATTCTTGATTCCCATCCACCTTTGGTCTGAAGTGACACAGTTCAGAATTCGGTCACCTCAGCCCTGGTCCACACGCTCTGTGGAATGAGGCGGAGAAATGCCATTTTTAAAATGCTCCCTTCCATAAATTCTTTGCAAGGAATACAGCTAGAACCTTAAGGAATGATCCCGCAGCCTCAAGATGTTGTCTGGCAGGCCATAAGATAGTCCAGATTCCCAGATTTGGGTGGCCAGAACATGAACTATCCTGAAGCCAGCGCAGCCTCCTTCCCAGGACCTGTGAGATACCGTGCCTAAAATCTGAAAATGGCCCCTCTAGTGAAAATGCTGAGTGGAAGAAACAGGGTCATAGAGTTCCCCCATTGTGCACTGAATGGGAGTGAACCTTGGAATCTGGAGCGTCTTGCTCATCTCGGCAGATTGCCGAAGAGTTAACTTTCTACTTTCAGGGAGGTTTTCCCCCCGAAAAAAGAAATCAAAACAAAACCAGCAGGACAGCGTCAAATGTAGCTTCCCCAGCTCGGATCCTGCCACCTCATTCCATTGCATCTGTAGACCCGTGGCTAGTGGATAAAAGCCAGGAAAAGCAGGCGTTCTGCAGCTCAGCCAAACCAAAGGCGCTCAAGCTAATCGTGAGAAGAGAAGGAAAGTACACATAGGCAAACAGAGAGGCGAAATAAATAACACGCAAGCCGGTTGAGGCCGCCACCCAAGCCAAACGCCAACCAGTCAGAAACTGAATGCGTTCCCCACAGTCCAATGCAGTCTATCTTGGCTGTGCTGTATCCCGAAGTCCACCCTACGAGCTGCCACACTCCGATCCATTTCCCAGGGCCAACCCTTCCGTCGGGGGCAAAACTGCCACGCACCGACCCCTCCAGCGACTGGATCTTGGCCGATTTGGAGCATGGAACGCACGGCTGGTGTATGTGCAGCGGCGTTCTTCCCGCTGGCTGGAACCTCTTTATCGCTTTATTCGTTGGGAAGTTCCGGTGGGAGTCCTTCCAAAGCCGCAGAAAACTGGAGGTCACACAATAGAAAGGTTTGCAGCAGCCAGGCGAGTCCCCTCCGAAGCGGCAACCCAGCCCTCGGCTGTGAGCCAACACTGTCCTCTTCTGCTGATGAGAAACAATATTTCACAGGGAGATGCTGCAGAGGGCATCACCTTTGCATCGCACCACGTTCAGCTCCCTCTCTTTGCTACCTCCTGGCGATACACACACATACACGAGCCGCTTTCCACCTTCCTGGGGGCCTGAAACGTCTAATCGAGAAAAGAGAAGCAGGAAAGCAGTTTGGTTGTCATTCCTGCTTCCAGGCCACTGGGAAGCTGAAGGAATTCGGAATGGCCAACATCCAGGCAACATCCTCACAACTCCTCTTCTTACTCCCCTTTGCCAAGAACGCCATGGAGGAAGGGAAAGGGAGAAGGAAACACAAGACAGTGAGAGAGGAGGAGAAGACAAAGGTCTGTAAGTAGACAGATGGGCAACTCTGCCTGCCTGCCTGCCCCCGCAAGAAGATTTGGCCTGTAGTTCCCACGGCTATGCTGGTTAGGCCAACCCATCTGGAGGGCCCTGATGAAGATGCAGAAAATAAAGCAAATGTGGGGAAAGGAAGGAGGTGGCCCGTACAGAAGGGGAGAGAGGACTGTACCACTTTCCACACAACCTAGTCTGCAACTAACTTTGAAGAGGTATTTAAGCCCACAGTAGTTTCCTTTAGCGGCAACACGAGTCCCGCATCTGTCGTGGCACGCTCCCGGCGACGCCGTTTTCTCCTTCCGAAGAGGGCGCAAGCTTCAACTGGAAAGAAACAAAGCCCCTCACATGGCTGTCTCCACACGTTCGCTCTCGGCCGTCACTTCCACATAGGCCTCTTCCGACGCCTGCGAGAGGTCCGACATCAAGGCGAGGTTCACGCACTCGGGGCACTTCTCCGGGCTCTGGGCGCTGGACTGGAAGATCTTCCCGCAGTCGGCGCAGATGAAGGAGTTCAGGCCCAGGTGGCTGCGCTGGTGGCGGATCAGGGCCGCCTTGGCCTTGAAGCAGCTGCCGCAGTCGGTGCAGACGTAGGGCTTCTCGTTGGTGTGGGTGCGCTCGTGGGCGATGAGCTGGGAGCTCTCGCGGAAGCACTTGCCGCAGTTCAGGCACATGTAGGGCCGCTCGCCCGTGTGGGAGCGCTCGTGCGCCACCAGGCTGGAGCGCTGGATGAAGCCCTTGCCGCACTGCAGGCAGACGTAGGGCTTCTCGCCCGTGTGCGTGCGCTCGTGCTTGCTGAGGCTGGAGCGGACGCTGAAGCTCTTCTCGCAGTACAGGCAGACATAGGGCTTCTCGCCCGTGTGGGTGCGCTTGTGCGCGATGAGCTCCGAGCTCCAGTTGAAGCCCTTGCCGCACTGCAGGCACTTGTGGGGCTTCTCGCCCGTGTGGGTCCGGATGTGGGCCATGAGGTGGGAGTTCTGGCTGAAGCTCTTCCCGCACTCCGAGCAGGTGTAGGGCTTCTCGCCCGTGTGGATGCTCTGGTGGCGAATGAGGTCGGCGCTCAGGCTGAACCCCTTCCCACACTCCAGGCACTTGTAGGGCTTCTCCCCCCGGTGGCTCCGCTCGTGCAGGACCAGGGTGGCCTTCTGGCTGAAGCTCTTCCCGCACTCCAGGCAGGTGTAGGGCTTCTCGCCCGTGTGGCTCCGCTCGTGGATGATGAGGCTGGAGCGCTGGTTGTAGCTCTTCTCGCACAGCAGGCACTTGTAGGGCTTCTCGCCCGTGTGCGTGCGCTCGTGCAGCTGCAGGTGGGAGCTCTGGCTGAAGCGCTTGTCGCAGTGGGAGCACTTGAAGGGCTTCTCGCCCGTGTGGGTGCGTCCGTGCGTGTTCAGGGTGGACCGCTTCCCGAAACTCTTGCCGCACTCGTTGCACTTGTAGGGCTTCTCCACCGGGGGCGGCGGCGGCTTCTCCTGCCCACTGAGCTGGATGCCCGGGCTCAGGCTGGCCCCAAAGCTCTTGGAGATCTCCTGGCCCTTCTTCTGGAGGAAGCTCTGCTGGATGGCGAAGTCGCTGAAGTCGAAGTAACCCCCTCCAAACGGGATCGAGATCGGCCCTTGGCTCTCCAGCGGGCAGCTGCCGGCCGGCCCCGCATGGCTCTCGAAGACGCCTGCCTGGCCTTCAGCCTGGGGGAAACGGACCTCATCTCCCCCCCACATCATCCGGTTCAGCTGCAGCCGCTCCGAATTCACCGGCGAAGGCTCCCCTTCCTTGTTCCAGCCGGCTGCAGAGGGAAGAAAAATCAAGATTCAGAGCACTCGAAATGAGAAACGGCCACAGAGATTCTAGCTAGGTTGGGGGAGAGCTTAAGCCAGCACTGAATACAGAGAGTCGCATATACGAGGTGAGACACAGAAATAACCCAATTGCGCTTAGGGCTTTCCAGGAAAATCGTCTGGAGGTTGGCTAGACGGACATCATAGAACTATATCTCCTCCTACAAACCCTATTAAACCGCCGACCGGCTAGGTATATCCTATGATGTACAGGTACATATATATCCTAGCCCGGTATATCCTAGCCCGGTCAGTATTCAAACTACACTCGTTACACTTGTTGCCGCAATAATATTGGAGGGGAAAATCGAACAGTGAATCAACATCGTACTCCCGCGCACAATGCTTTTTCCGCAAAGCAGCATTTGAGTGGAAGAAACATTCCTGTCCTTGATCATCCTCCTTATTCACCCGATTTAGCTCCCTGTGATTTTGACTTGTTCCCGAAAATCAAAAGTGACCTGAAGGGAACACGTTTTGCGTCAATGGATGAAGTGAAGACAGAAATGGCAAGCCTATTGAAGAGCCTCACGCAAGAAGACTTCCAGCACTGTTTCAATCAATGGAAAATACAGATGGAGCGGTGTAGCGATCGGGAGGGAGAGGTTATTATCGACAAAGCCCTTAACGGCTTGGGACCTGGATACCTGAAGGAACACCTTCTTCCATATTTGCCCTCCCGCCCCTTGAGATTGGCAGCAGAGGCCCTCCTCCGGGAACCCCCTGTGAAAGACATTAGGCGGGTGAGTACCCGGAGGAGGGCCTTCTCTGTGGTGGCACCCCACCTATGGAATGCGCTCCCCAGAGAGGACCGCCTGGCGCCGTCGTCATTTGTTTTTCGGCGCCAGGCTATGACCTTTTTATTTCAGTAGTATTTTAATAAGTTTTAATATTGTGTCCTGTATGTTTTTAACTGCAGCCAGTGAGAGTCAATAATTTATTCATGTTATATTTTATTTTATTTCATTTATACAAGCCGTCCTGAGGCTTTCGCGACAGGACGGCATATAAATATTTTAAATAAATGAAAAACAGAAGGTGACAATGTTCAGACTGCTGTAATTCATCAATAATTTTTTATTATAATTAATCAGGTTGTTTTTGTGTCACACCTCATATATTAATACTGAGAACAACAATTACTAGCAGCCACTGATGGCCTCCTTCTCCACGAACTTGCCTAGTGCCCCTTTAAGGCCATTCAGATTCGCCACCTCTTGTGCAAGAAAATGCCCCAATTCTATTTTGCTCTGTGTGAGAGTCCTTCCGTTCATCTGTCCTCCGTCTCCCACCACTCGGACTGGGATGACCTCTTTGGGTTGTGGTATTAGGAAAGAGGTGGCAAAAAATGCCAGGAACTGGATCCCAAAACTCCCATGCGCAAGACACGTGCTCGCCGACTGAGGCCGAGCCGGACGTCTGGTCTCAGGGCCTGAAGAGGCCCGGCTTACAGTCTTAAGCCCCGAGGGCTCTACCCACCCCTCAAAACCGATGCAGGAAAATGACCTCTGAGCCGCAACATCATCTCCTGGAAAACGGTGCTGTTCTGACACAAACTGCCATATCTCTGTTTTATTTCCTCTAATCTCAGTGCCGGAGACTCTTCATCTTCCCTGAGGATTTGATTCGAGAGAGAGAATGAGAGAGAGATTAGGGGAGGAATTGCGTAGAGGGGTCTGAATTAAGAGTGGGAATGGACTTTTTACACCAGTGGGGGCCCTGCTGAGAACACAGGGGTGATCTGGCTCCGCTCCTGAGAAGGACGCACTTTGTGGGATGGGAACCAGAGAATTATGTTATTTCCATCTCTTCCTAGAGGGATGGAGAGTGCCTGCGATCCGTGTCATTCCAGCCCCCAGTGCATGGTTGCAGATGCAGCTCTGAGCTTTGCTCAGTAAGCAACCAAGATGGGGGGGGGGCACATTGCTGGCATTCTCCTGCCCCAATGTCTGCGAAGTTCCCCCCTCCATTCCCTTTGCTGTTGCGATGACTAAGTGCGACAGTCGCTAACGATAGCCAGAGCTGTGCTGGCAACTGTGTGTGGCTCGAGGGGGCGCAGCTTGGACAGATGGGCCTGAACCTGCCCTACGGATTGGAGACTATCGCTCCAAACCTACAAGATGGATTGAAGATTTGGAGTCCCTTTTCTCTAACAAGTGAAACCGCAAGCAATGATTTCACAGGGGGATCCTCCAACACGGTGGATGGCTTTAAATCAGGATAGGTTGGACATGGTAGCCATGGCATGAGTGGAGCCAGGGGTCAGACTAGATGGGCCAGGAGACCCCTTCTGACTCCACGCTTCAATGTTAAAATCTGTAGGCTTTAATCCTGTTGTAAGACCCTTGAAATCATCTTTTAAGGTACTTAGCTGGGCTTTCCGATGTGGCGCACGTGGCCTTGTCAACAGCTTCTCTGGTGCCCAACAGACTCCTTGGCCTTGCCTGACTTTTATTTCTTAATATACTTAGGGCACAATCTGATGGCCACTAGACGCTTGCCTAGGCGGCCACAGGAAACTCCAGAGCTGGGGAACTCAGAGGCTGAAGCACCCTCTGTCCACCCTTGCAGCTGGTGTGTGTCTTTCCAGGAGCCAGAGCTGGGGGGCATTTCAGGGACGGTGGGGGGACTGTGCCAGGGAATGCGGGATCCTGGCAGTGCCCCTCCTCTAGAGCAGAGGTGAAACGCTAGTTGTCCTCCAAAATGCCCTATCCCGGACGGCCTGCTTAACTGTTCTGAATTCAAGGTGGGGTCTCTTCCTTTATGGAGTCCCTCCTTCCCATATTTGGTCTTCCTCTTCTCCTTCTGCTGTCAGCTTTCCCTAGCATGATGGCCGAAATCATCCAATATTTCAACGGCAATACAGAATACAGACACACTCTTAGCCTCTGTGCTCCTTCCACCTTCCACAAGATACCCATAATCCTCCAGTTTGGAGGCTTACAGGCAGCCATATTAGATGGCACACTTACCACACATAAAACAATTGTTTAAACCAGAACGCTGCTACTGAGCGCCATGTTTGTTTGGATTCAAAAGCCTGGTTTTGTCCTTTGGAGCTCAGTTGCAGCTCTGTCTTGTACTTAGGTTCTCGGCCTAGATATGTTTATTTTGCGGTGGTCAAGAGGGTGAACGCCACCCTCGGTTGCACAGCCAGAAGTGTGGCTTCTAGATCGGGAGAGGTATTACTACCACTCTATACGACTCTGCTGCACCCGCAACTGGAGTACTGTGCTCCGTTCTGGGCCCCTCGTTACAGGAAGGATATAGCCAGGTTGGAGTCAGTGCAGCGTAGGGCCACAAGGTTGGTGGCCGGTTTGCAGGGGATGCCGTACGAGGTGAGACTGAGGGAACTGGGTCTCTTCAGCCTGGAGGAGACTCAGAGGGGATCTGTTGGCGACATACAGGTACATGAGTGGGTGTCACACAGAGGTGGGTAGGGACCTGTTTTCCCCTGCAGTGGAGGGCAGGACACATTCCAATGGAGCAAAACTCAGGGAACCAAGATTCAAGGTGGATGCCAGGAAGCATTTCCTGGCAGTTAGGATCCCGAGGGTATGGAATGGGCTTTCACAGGAGGTGGTTGAGGCCCCATTGGTGAGGGTGTTCAAACATAAGCTGGACATGCACATGGTGGGCATGTCGTGAGCGGAGCCGGCTGGAGTCAGGGGTCAGACTAGATGGCCCAGGAGACCCCTTCTGACTCACTCTGTTTCTATGTTTCTAATTTTGGTTGCTTATGTTAGCCAACAGTTTGCCTTATGGGAAATGAGGGTGTTTGTCACTTTACCACGACAGTCCCTTGATGAATGGGTAATCGCCATCACCCCACGGCAGCCATTTTGTGGCAGAACTGACAGTGTTCTCTCAGCATTCCAGATGTGCCCCCAACCCAAAACATTTGGGGATCCCATGATCATCTGAGAACAGGAGAAGAATTAGATGCATACAGCACAACAGATGCTTCCCTGGCAAATGCCACAAAACAGCCTGATTCTTACCGGCTTCCGATACTTCTGGCTTCCTACAGGGCAATGAAAAGGAAGAAAACACGCACACAGTGAGATATCAAGGGGAAGAACTGTTCATTTTTTAAACAGACAATGAAGAGCAATGAAATTGAACGGCAGCGGATTGAAAGGTGACAAGAGGGAACTCACTGCCACATGATTCACACTTAGAACTGTGGAACTCACTGTCACAAGACGTTGTGACACTGTGGTGCCTCTTTTATTTTTTAAAAAAGAAACCTGATAAATAGACAGAGGATTTGTTTCAGTTGGGACCATGGTAATCACCTCACCTCTCCACAGCTTTATCAAGCAAGCTAATGGTACTGAAGAGAAAAACATTCAGAAGAGATAATGTGATTACTAGTCAGGATAGTGAGCATTAGTTTCGATCAAGGATGAAGAACCAGAGGCTCTCCTGGGGTCGGACAATCATCCTCAGTGATTGGCCATCTTGGCTGGGGCTGATGGGACTCTGAGTCCAGCAACTTCTTGAGGACCTCAGGTGCCCCCTTCACCTGTCTAAGCAGGGGCATGCTCTTCCTCATTGCCACACAGGTGTACATGATCTTTTTATTTTTAAAAAACATGGTAAACCACACCTTCATCCCAAAGAGGATTTCAAGGCAGTGGACCTAAAAATTAAAATTTATGCAGTGTAAAAACTTGTAAGTTCTAAACAGTAAAATCAAGGAGCAATAACCCTATTTCAACCATACACACGCACACACAAAATACAAATTTAAATTTAAATTGATATTCAGTAATAAATAGAATGTATACTTCATAAGCCATAATATAATGTTGAAGCTAAATTTGCATTTCATTCAATGCTGGTCCCAAGTAAAAGAAAAATCTGCCCCTCTAATGACAAACACAACAGCCACTTCTGTATAGCCTGAAGTGCTTGAGCCTGCCTAATCTTGGAAGCTAAGCAGGATCGGGCCTGTTTGAAACCTGGATGGGTGACTTAAATGTTGGGAACTGCCCAGAAAGCTTCGGCTACAAGCAATATAAAAAGAAAATGGAATAGGAATGACTCTGTTTAACCCATATTAGTGCAACACTATGCCTGTCTTTTCAGAAGTAACTACCATTGAGTTTAATGCGATTTACCCCCACATGTATGGGATTGTAGCCTTAGTCATTTTTCTTTTAACCATGTCAAGACAAGAGGCAGCTTGGCTTGTTTACTCGAGTCAGCTGAGTCAGGAGAGCGTCCTGAAAACCTACCACGATCTCCTCATTGCTGTTTTCTCCCACACCATCCTCCTCCACGCCCCTCTCCTTCTTCAGGTTGATCACCTGTGAGTTGGACAACACCTTCCAGTGAGGAAAAAGGGCTCGTATTAATCAAAAGAAAGACAGTCTCCCTCTTCCACTGATTTTCTTCTTTTAATATCAAGATATGCCAAATAGTATTTCACAAGCCAAAAAGTGTCAGGATGTTTCAAAGTGGAGAAAGCGCAAATCAAATTAAAGAAGGAAGCACAGAGACTCAGCTCACAGGGAAGGACTAGATGTGGCTTAATTCATTAACCCAGGAATGGCCAGGGATGCAAGCCAAGCGTGCTCCCAGCTTGTCAATTCCACTTTACATCCTGTTTAGCAAACAACCCATTCCTGGGTTGTTTATGACATCCAAGTTTTGCACATCTTCTTGAGGGAAAAACTCAAGAGTCTTAACCCAACAACAAACCATGCATTGTACAAATGAGAAACTAGATCAACATCCAAACAAATGAGATATTAAATCAAGTTCAATCTATGGTTTAAGGTCCTCATTATCCTAGTTTCTTGGTTTGGACAAGACAGGAAATTGTTAATTGAAAGCTTTCTAGTTTGTTTGCTCACAACGGAAAGGGAGAGGGGCTTGTGAACAAGCAAATTAGCTTATTAAGCTGAGATATTTGTGTATTTATTTGTTAATTTTTATCCCACATTTCCTCCAAACAGCCACAAGGGAGGTTAGGCTGCAGTCTCCGGACTGGCTCTGGAGCCACCCAGTGCTGGGACTGACAAGGCTGGTCGTTTCTCACGGACTGCTGGCTGCATCCAATGATTTGGAACCAGAATGTGAAACCAATCAAGAGCCGACTGTGCAGGCCCAGATTCTGCGAAGAGGAGGCGGAGGTGATGATCTCAAGGGCAGACGCTTTGCCAAGCCAGGCAGCTTCTGAGAATGGTCAAGATAAACAGCCAGCAGGAGGGATCCCTGAGGATGAGGAATTCTCAGGCGCAGGGCAGGCCTGCCCTGCTCTCAGCGCCATGGTGAGGTGTCAGCAGAGCCAGGAGGCCCAATGAAAGGAGCAGTGTGCGGAGGGGAGGCGTGCCTGCCTACAGGAAGCCCCTCCCAAGGGGAAGGGGCTCAGGCAGGCACATAAGAAGAGTTCCCGGAGGTAAATCCTAGAGACTGGGATCCACAAGCCACTCTGTGCATGCTCAGAGAGCCGTTCTGGGTGATTTGTACTTTGCAGCAATCAAGAATGTTTTGCAAGAAAACGGTCTGTTTCTTTTGACTGCTTGAAGGATGATCCTCTGCTTGTGAAACCCAGGAAGCTGCATGGCCGAGCAGGGGCTAGAACCCAGATCCGTCAGGTCCCCCAATCCAGCACTCTAACCGCTACTCCACACTGTCTCTTCAAAGTAAACATCGAATAACTGTTTAGAGACTTTGAAACCTTGCACTTTGGGTCAGCTCTCTCAAATCAGAAAGCTATTTCTCGACTACTTAAAAAGCAATTGGGAACTTTATGCTGTTACTTCAACCAGAGTGGCTACACTTGCACAAACGGTAGCTAGCTTTCTCCAGAATGCTGCCTCATCCAAGACTGACACGCTGGTGCCCTGTGCCCGATTTCTGTGGCTTGGGTCTCCTTGTAAGCAGGAGCGCTAAAACCAACCAGGAACTTAGCAGAGTGGAAAAACTTACTGTCATGGCTGCACACCAGGTCCCTTGGTAAGTCAGTCCCAAACAAGCTGAAATTTAAAGCCAGGGTTGAAGTTGGCTTATGGAACGAGGCTTGTTGGATGAGCAACAATCCAGATTCTGAGGTCAGATGGAAAGCATTGCTTTTCCGCCCCAGCACATTCCCAGTTTGCTTCGCAAGCCTTCCGCCCTCCGTTTGTACCACTCCCACTGCCCTCAGACACCATGACCACTGGGCTGGGGCTGATGAACTCTGTAATCCACACAACTGGGGTGGGGGGCACCAGGCCAGGAAATGCCGTTGTCACCACTCCTGGGCTTGCAGGAGGAGGGGAAGCAATTGGGCAATGACACCAGTAGGCAGGAGGAGGCAGCTAATTTGGGGTGTCATGAAAAGCTAGCAAAGTTGTTCAATTTATTCTGATAGTACTTTTGTCATCATGCAGGCTCATCCAGTCCTATCACTTCCTGGCAAATAGATGGGGAAGAAATGGAGGTAGTGACAGATTTTATTTTCCTGGGCTCCAAGATCACCGGAGACAGGACTGCAGCCAAGAAATTAAAAGATGCTTGCTCCTTGGGAGGAAAGCTATGGCAATCTAGACAACATACTAAAAAGCAGAGACACCACCCTGCTGACAAAAGTGCGTGTAGTCAAGGCTATGGTTTTCCCAGTTGCAAGGTATGGCTGTGAAAGCTGGACCATAAGGAAGGCTGAGCGCCAAAGAATTGAGGCCTTTGAACTGTGGTGCTGGAGGAGACTCCTGTGAGTCCCTTGGACTGCAAGGCGATCAAACCGGTCAGTCCTAGAGGAGATCAACCCTGACTGCTCCTTAGAAGGTCAATACTGAAGATGAAACACAAATATTTGTCCACCTAATGAGAAGGAAGGACTCCCTGGAGAAGAGCCTAATGCTGGGAACAATAGATGGCAAAAGAAGAAGGGGCGGCAGAGGATGAGGTGGCTGGATGGAGTCACTGGGGCACTCAGCGTGAGCTTGGGTGGACTCCGGGGGATGGTGGAGGACAGGAAAGCATGGAGGAAAGTTTTTTTTTCTTTCCAATTTATATCCTGCCTTTTTCCTACAAAGGGCTCAAGGCAGCTTACACATGGGGATACGACTAAACAGCAAGGCTTTTTGCAAAATGTGCGAGGTGATTAAAGGAGGCCACGCCCACCAAAATGTCCTCGCTGCAAGACGACTTTTTGGAAATCCTCCTGCTGGCTCCTGAGAAAGGCTTGGCCAGAAGCTTCGCTGCTGAACTGGGCAACAACTTTGTGCATACACATGTGCCGGCCCCAGTCTCAAAAATTTGGCAACCTTACATGGCAATCCACCAAACCCCCATCAAAGTGTGCACAACCCTGGATCAGACAAGTAATTTTGTCCCCTGGGCAAAACTCTCCCCAGCAATAAAAGTGCAGCGATGGGGAGTCACTGGAGAGCTGTTACGATGGAGAGAACGCTGGAGTGGGGACCCGGGAGATGCAGGTTCTGCTCCCTACTCAGCCATTTAGCTCCCTGAGTGGCCTTGGGCCGATCACTCGCCCTCGGCCTAACCTACCTCACAGGGCTGTTGTTGGGAAGATCTGGTGGCAAACTAAGGAAGCCATCCTGAGTTCTTCCCAAGAGGGGAAAAGTGGGATATAAATGCAAAGTAACAATTGATAATTAGGATTTTATTTTTAAAATCCTAATTAATATTCATGCGGGGGGGGCAAAGTACAGAGGATGCTTGGAACACTTGGGAGCTTCCTTGGGCTATTCCCTCCCCATCCATGAGACTGCAAATCAACGGACAGACTGAAACCCAAGAGGCCTGAGCTCAAATTCACATTTAGCTGCAGTATCTGTTGCTCACAGGCTCTCAACCCAGCCCACTAAACCAGCATGCCCACTTCCAAGGGCTGCTCTGAGATAGAAAGACAGTGCTACATACACCCCCGAAAGCTCTTAGGAAGGTGCAGTCCCAGAACGGCCATGTGCTTCAACACAGCCCTGCTTTGGAGGCGTCGTGGTTTGCATGAAATCCAACTGCCAGCCTGCAGTGGACGGCCGTCCAAACCCTCCTCGTACCTTGTCGTTATTCCCGTGTCCCGCTTCTTTAGGAGTTTTACTCCGAAGTCCCTCACCGCTGCAGTCCTGCTCAGTTTTAATCTTGGCTCCCACAAGTGGCAGCGGATCCGACGGGATCTTCTGCAGTTCCCCACGATGCAAAGTGGTCTGGGGGAGGGGAGAGAACGTCACACCTGGAATTCTTATTCCAGGTCGGAGCCCTGCTGGGATGCCAAGGGCTTAAAGGATTCGGCGAGCTACACGTGGGCAAAGGGTCAGGTCGGCAAGTGGATCCTGCTTACATGTCTTGGTCTCTTGCTTGTGCTACCCAAACAGAGGCAGACCCTGGAAAGGTTCACCTCGAGACTGGTGCACGGAGATGCCCCTGATATAAGAGCACAGGCTGATGGCCATTGTAGTTCTCGGGGAGCCAGCTGGGGAACACCCAACGGACAGACCAGTTTGCTGCCAACATCTGGCATTACGTAGGTCAGCTTCTGGGCCTGTTCCCAGGCTGCAGGGAGCAACATCTGGAGCTCCCCTGCGTGGGAACATGGCTTCTCTAGGAAATGGTAACATCCAAAAATGATCCAGGATTTGGAAAGCGTGCACTATGAAGAGAGACTGAGGGAACTGGGCATGTTCAGCCTTGAGAAGAGAGACCGAGGGGGGACATGATGTCCCTCTAGAAGTACCTCAAAGGCTGTCACAGGGAGGAAGGTCAAGATCTCTTCTTGCTGATCCCAGAGCGTAGGGCACAGAATAATCAATTCAAGTTGTGACTAGCCAGACTCAGGCTGGACATCAGGAAAAGTTTCCTCACAGTCAGAGCAATATGACAGTAGAACCAGCCCCCTGCCACACTGGAGACATTCAAAAAGAAACTGGGCAGCCATCTGAGGGGGATGGTGTAACATGGTGTCCTGCAACAGCAGGGGGCTGGACCTGATGGCCTTCATGGCCCCTTCTAACTCTACTATCCTATGATGATTCTACGCCCATCCATCTCCCCAAGGCCTGCCGTCTGAACTGTATCCTTACCTTGTTCTCCTGTGGTGACACAGGTGAGTTATTAGAGGCGTGGGAAGCAGGGATCAGCCGACTGATAGGCCCGGATGAGTTCTCTGCTCTCTGGGAAAAAAGAAAAAAAAAGAACACCGGCAAAGATCAGTCCTAATGAAGATCAATTTACTCATTTTTAAGGTAACAGCACCTAACACTCTTCCCTATACCTGTCAGGGGCAATACCTGTCGGAGCGCCTCTCTCAGCTGTGATCTACCTGGACTCTAAACTCAGCCTCTGGGACTTTCCCCCAAGTGTCCACGCTGAGGAAAGGGTGCAGGGCGGCAACGAGGGGCCGGGCTTTCTTGGTGGTGGCCCCTGTCTATGGAACAAGCTCCCTGCTGTAGCCCAAATGTGTCTTCCTTTCAGTGCTTGGTTCCTGAAACCTTTAAAGACTTACTTGGCCACCAGGGGCTTGAGAGGAATGACCCATCCAAGATCTTCTGCAGAGTCTTTCTTTGCTATTGTCTGTTTTAGCTGTTTTGACCTTTTAAATGTTTTTTTCTGATTTTATCATGCTTTCATTGCATTAATGTTTAGTTTTATGGATTGCTGTAAACTGCCCAGAGAGCTTTGGAAAAACGATGATAATGATAATATTGTCCTGCTATTGCAATTTTAAGGGTTTGAGTAGAGCTGCATTTGTAGTTATGGAACTTGCTCTCCAGAAAGTTGCGCCTGGTGCTGGTAATTTATTCATTCTGGTGCCAGGCCAAACCCTTTTTCTTTTCCCAGTTTTTTAAACTGATAAATGGTAAAAGGTAGAGGTAAAGGTTTCCCCATGACATTAAAGTTCAGTCATGCCTGACTCTTGGGGGCGGTGCTCACCTCCGTTTCCTAGCCGAGGGAGCCAGCGCTTGTCCGCAGTCTCTGTGCTCATGTGGCCGGCATGACTAAACACCGAAGTGCACGGAGCGCTGGTACCTGCCCACCGAAGGGGTGCCTTTTTATCTACTTGCATTTGCATGCTTTCGAACTGCAGGGTTGGCAGGAGCCGGGGCGGAGCAACAGGAACTCACCCCGTTGTGCAGATTCGAACCGGCAACCTTTCGATCAACCAGCCCAGCAGCTCAGCAGTTTAACCCACTGCGCCACCAATAAATGGTGTTTTGATTAATTGCATCAAGTTCTGGCACTTGGGAGTTCCTAACTGTTTTATCATTGTAATAATTGTTTTAAATCTTTTTTCCCCCGTGTAAACTGTCTTGAGATTTTGCAATGAATGGACAGAATATACAGACTTTAAATAAATAAGGGAAATAAATAAAACAGCACATACCGCATGAGGGAAGTATCAGGAAGCTTGGAAGAAACACAAAGTTTGAAAAAGCAGGCGTGGCAACAGTGAGGGACTGGGAAAGAAGAGACCCGAGTTCTAGGCCCCGACTGACCATAAGGTTCACTAAATGACTTTGGGTCAGTTACCGATTCTCGGCCTAGCCTACCTCACAGGGTTGTTGAGAGGATAAAATGCAGAGGAGGAGACTCATGTCATATCTCCTTGAGAAAAATCTGGGATATAAACACCCCACAGAACAAAACATGCTGGTGGGGGGAAGCCTAAGGAATGAGGAGCGTTGGGGAGGTGGGAAAACAGAACAGGGAAAAGGGAGCCCTACAACTGGCCAGATCTGGCTGCTGGCCCCACTTGTAATTCATCCAAAACAGCACGTTGCCCAATTCCAGCCCCACAGGGAATCCCCAGATGGCCACACCGTCTTCCCTGGCCATCGCCCCAATCGCCGGGGGTTTTTCTGGCTTCTCCCAAGGCTTAGTTCTTGAAAGCAAGAGCTTCAAGCCAACATGGGTGGGTATTCTGGCTCCATCCAGTTTGCCTGTGGCCCCTAAGCATCCCTGGAATGTGCCCACCCACCCTGGCTTCTCCCGGATGGAATGCGACAGCGACCCTCTTCCCAAAACAAGAGGGTCTTCAATATCCTTCCCAAACTTCTGCAGGATTTACGTCTAAGGATGAATGCCGGAAGCAGCATGGCGTGTTCAGGGCTAACAGTGGAGAAAAGGCAGGAAGTCCCAGCCGCTACCTCATCGCCTGCTGCATTTGGGCCGTCCGTGGCATCTCCCAAGACCTCCTCCTCCTCCTTTTTACGGGGCTCCGCTGGTCCTTCTCCATGGCTTGCTTTTGTAAGATCGCCCACACACTGCTTTGCCGCATCCTGCAAAAAGAAGGCCGAAGCCACGTGTGGGGTACCCCAGAGGGGCTCATGACAAGAAGCCTCATTTCTTACACAGCTGATGGAAAAAGCCGACATTCGCCTATTACTTTCTGCAAGGACTCCAATTAAATCTCCCATCCCACACGTCCCCCCACCTTATCGCCGTTGTTCTGTGCCATCAAGTCTTCTCTGACATCTGCTGACCCAGATTCTCTCCAGAACGGCCCATCTAGGACAGCCCAGATCCGCTCCTGGAAATTCAAGGCCAGGGCTCCCTTTATGAAGTCCATCCATCCCTAGTTTGGCCTTCCTCTTCTACTTCCGCCTTCCAACTTTCCCTGACATGACTGTCTTCTCCAAGGAGTTTTGCCTTCTTAGGATGTGCCCAAAGTAGGACGACCTTCTCCCATGTGTATCTGCCCGTTCCTTGAGATCTGAATCAGAGGCTGTTCTTAAAGAGTCATTCCCCAAAGAGGTGAGGAGGATGTCAAACAGGAGGAGGGCCTTTTTGGTGGTTGCTCCACAACTCTGAAGAAGGCTGCCCAAAGAGCCTTCATTACTGGAGCCTGGAGGCCTTCGTTACTAGCATTTCAGTGCCAAAGACTGTTCTATTTTCTAGGTATTTTAATAACTAGTTTTAATCGGAGATTTATTTATTTATTTAAAGCTTTTATACATTGTCCCATTACTAGCGTCTCGGGACAGTTTCATTTTCAATAAAATCTGTCATTTTATTGTTGATTTTAATGCAATGTGTGCCACCTAGACAGCCCTAATGAGGGCTGTAAGTTGCAGTCTATAAATTGAAAAATAAATAAAAAAGCTCAGATTTGTCATTTTTGTACCTTTAATCAATGTCCTTCAAAACACAGAAAGAATTTTTTCTGAGCCCTGCACCTGTATGCTGACTCAGCTGTTGAACTCCTGCCTCTTAAACGCAAGGGGGGAAAGTTGGTAATGGGTGTTATTCCGTTTTAATCCCAACATTCCATCAATAATGAGCTCAGAGGAGAAGATACCCTCAGAACAACCCTTGAGATAAATTACGCTGAGAGCTGGTGTCTGGGCCAAAGTCATTCAGCAAGATTCATGGCCGAGCAGGATTTGAACCCGGGTCTCGCTGTTTTTGCCTTGATCCTCTAACGGCTACACTTCACTAGTTTCCCATGGCTTCAGAGGGCACTTCAATTTCGGTTAAAACATTCTCTTAACAGCAGCAGCTCTTCCGCAGAGGAACGAGCGTCAGGAGGCAGAATGGTTGAGGGTTGGAACAGCCAGGAGCTGCAGTCCGAAGCACGCAGAGGGCAAGTTGGGAAGACTGCCAAATTCGTAGCTGCAGCATCGATCCTGTACTGAGCCACATGGCCTCTGAGGTCCCTTTCAGGACTGTAATTTCCCACTGTGTGATACCTCTAGGCCAGTTGCTGCGGCATCCACACAAAGGTGGCTCAGACCGCGCCACATTCTTCGTCCACCCAGCCTCTGGATGCACACACGGAAATTCACAGAAGCTGCCTTGCCTTAAGTCACACCACCGGCCCATTTTCTTATCCTTACTGCTGATTGTTTAAAGCAAGCACGTGAAGAAGAGCCCTGATGGATCAGAGGGAGGATCTGCGCAATCCCGTTCTGTTCACACAGTGGCCAACCAGCTGGGAAGGCCACAAGCAGGACCGAGGACAACGGCATCCTGCTGCCCAAGTTCCCCAGCAACTGGCCTACACAGGCACCCTGCCTCTGATACTGGAGGTAACACATGAGGACTAGTAGCATTGATAGCCCTATCCTCCACCAACCCTTTTGATGTATGTGTATTTGCGTGCAGGCGCACACGTGTCAGTCTATATGTAAATGGTTTTTAATGCTATATATAATGTATTTTACCCTGATGCTGGAACGACTGAAGGCAAAAGAGAGCCAGTGTAGTGTAGTGGTTAAGAGCATGGGACTGGGACTCAGAGGATCTGGGTTCAAGTCCCCGCTTGGCCATGGAGCCAACTGGGTGACTTTGGGCCAGTCACAGTCTCTCAGCCCAACCTACCTCACAGGGGATAAGATGGAGGAGGAGAGATAATGTAAGCTGCCTTGAGCCCTTTGTAGGAAAAAGGCAGGATATAAATCGAAAAAATAAATAAATAAATAAATAAATTAAAAGGAGAAGGGGATGGCAGAGGTTGAGGTGGCTGGATGGGGTCACTGGAGAGGAGGGTGTGGGGTTGGGTGGACTCTGGGGGATGGCGGAGAACCTGGAGGAATGTTGTCCATGGGGTTGCAAAGAGCTGGGCATGACTTTGCGACTGAACAACAAATAATGTATTTTAATGCTTTTTAATTTTTCTAAACCACCCAGAGAGATGGTAAACATGGGAGAGAGATCAAAACTCATTACTGCTCCAGTAATGTATCTGCTCTCATGAACCACAAATATCGCCATCTCCACCCAACACAGCTTCTGGTCTCAACACAAAAGCACCACAAGGCTTGGTCTTTCCCAGCCTTGTGCCCCCTAGAAATGGTTGTTTGTTATATTTAGGTCTCATCTTTCCCTCTGAGGTACTCCAGGCAAATAGCAGACAGGATTCTCTGCTCTCCATGTTTATCCTCACAACAACCCTGTAGGGCGGGCTAGGCTGAAAGTCAATGAGCTTCAAGTGGGGATTTGAACCCAGGACTCCCCAGTTCCTAGTCCCTTACCCTTAATCATTGCAACACACCAGCTCTAAGAATGTTGCGAGTTGTAGATAATCTAACACCGAGGAACAGTTTAGGCTTGGCCATAGCGACATCTTCTCCACCTCTTCTTATTGCAGCTGTCCAAGTTCTACCACCCAAAATCCTTCTTTTCCTTCCTTTAAAATGGGCACAGTAGGAATTTCCACCTCGGACTTTTTCTGCTCCCTGCCTGCATGATCATTATTTTTTCAGGTACAGAGTAAATGGGAGATTCTCTTTGCTGTAGTTGCAGGTCTCTGAAATCCTTCCTCCACCATCCACTAGCCCTCTACTTCTCCACCCATAAAATGGGTCCTACCTGTATTTTCTCTTCTCCAGCCTTTTCAAGCCCAGTTTCCATGATCCAGGTGTGACAGTCTCTGAGAAAATACTGTGATCTGGCTGGGAGAGAAGGGATGGCAGGAGGTGGAAGAAAACAAGAGAGGTTTTAGTAGAAAGGGATTAAGAGGAAAGAAAGGGAAAAGGCAGCAATGTAATCCTCTCACTGAGGTGGAGAAATAGTGTGGGAGATGTGTGAAGTTTTGCTTGGTTAGGCTATAATTAAAAGCTTTAAAAAACGGGGAGAAAGCAGGGTTGTTCTCTCCATCTTCCCACGCAAGGCTCAATCTGTATCAGCCAGGGTTGAAATCTGAGAAGGGTTCCTACCTGAAGCGCTAGGCCACAGCTCCTCAACATGGGCTATTTTGAGAAGGAAAGAGTGCCTCTGAACACACACAGAGTGCAATCCCCCTCCCCAGAAAGCGAAAGCAGCACGTCTCAGCCTTCAGAAAAAGAAGAAAGCACAGCCAAGGAAGGAACGGGTGGAGCGACAGGAAATTAAAAAAGCGAAGCTTTTGAGCATGTGCAAAAAGTATTCCTCCTGCATCAACACGCGAATGCTGAAGCGAAGCCTTTCCCCCAAGCCCATCTGGAGGCTGAGGCGAAGTGAAGGCCTTTCACGAGGCAAAGGGTGATGCAACACTTAAGACGGCAAACCTTCCGAGCATGTGCAAAGGGCACCACCGCCCCTCCCCCCATGATCACGCAGAACGATTCCTCCCTCCTCCACCCATCTTGGACAAAAAGGAAAGAAGAATGCCTGGGGCGGCAACCAAGGTTCGAAAATGCCTCTAAGCATGTGCAGAGTGCCGTCCTTCCCACCCTTTACCTCTGAACGAGATTTCCAGGCAGGAGGTTCTTTCCTCAAAGAAAGGTTTTCTTTAAAAAAATAATCAGAAGGTGGAGTGTGTGGGAGATCGGGAGGCAAAAATGTAATCTTTCAAGGCAGCTCGTAAGTCCAGCCTCTAATAATCCTTGGGTCTTTAGGAGGAATGTCTATATTGCAAACTTAAACCGGTTAGACACCCACGGGCTTCCCCTAACATGGAACCCTGGGAGATGTAGTTCTGCCTACCAGGAAAGGATCCCGCTTTGGAAAGTCTCCTGTCACCCCAAGACTACATTTCCCAGCATTCCTTGCAACGACGCCTGGTGCATGCAACTGCTCTAAGCGAACGCCTGGCTTGGAAACCACTTTTCGGAACAATAAGCCTTTAAAGAGACCACCAAAGCGGGGCTTTCTTTTATTCTTCATTACCGGGTGCTGCAGTCTTAAAGCACACATACACACAACCCGCTTCCTGTCCTGGAGTTTTGTCTCTTTCAGGAGCGAAGGGGAATCACAAATCACAATCCGGTCTGAAACCGGATTAAGCTCTTGCTGCGCAGGTGACTTCCCCCGAGTAAGAAATCAGGACTTTTCCTAGCTCGTTCGCATCCCTCTGTTAGGATGGGGCCGGTCATGGACCTTGCACTCACCGTTCACATGGGCAGTGCCCGGATACGGAATATGGTGTCGAAAGAAGCGTGACTGCCGTTGTTACACCGAGCCCGCAAATGCAAGAGAGACGGCTTCTGCCTTCCCTCAGCGCGTAGCCAGGGCCCTCTGCTGGCCAGGAATAGCAGCCGAGAAGAAAGCCGTGCCGGGCAGCGAATAAGAACAAAGCAAATCGGATTGACGCCAATTTCTTTCTTTCTTGGCCGAGCATTAGACGAGCATTTCCAGCGAGCATCTCTTGCTTGTGAACGCTTCCTGAAACACGGGTGTTCACCAGGGCTGCCCAAGAAAGAGGTCTTTGGGTTGGACACCCTGACGAAGATGTCAACCCAGTGCGCAGCTGTTATCAGAAAGGCAACGTCTGTGTTAGGAACGGATCTGATACTAAAGTTGCCAATCTCAGACAAAACTATAGTGATAGTGCACTGAAAATAGTGGACACGGTTCTGGTCACAAAAAGGGATATTTTGTAGAGGTGGGGAAAATGCAGAAAAGGGCGACTGAGATGATCAACAGGTTGGAGCGATTCCCCAACGAGGAAAGGTTGCAACAACTGGGCTTGTTTAGCTTAGAAAAAAGGTGAGTAAGGAGAGTCATGACAGAAGTGTGCAAAATTCTGCATGATGTGGAGAAAGCAAATAAATATTGTTCACCACACTAGAACCTAAATGGGTCATCCCATGAGGCTGGGTTGGTGGAAGATTCAGGAGGGATTAAAAAAAGGACTTGTTCACACTGTACAGAGATAAACCATGGAACTCACTTTCACAAGATGTAATGGTGGCCACCAATTTGGGTGGCTTTCAAAGGGGACTGGACAAGTTCAGGGAGGAGAATGCTATCAAGGGCTACTAGTCCTCATTGTGAAATGCTACTTCCTAGGGTCAGGAGAATGTTGTTATGCTCGTGTTCTACTTAGGGTTTCTTGTAGCAGCTGGATGAACAGAATCCAGGACTAGAAGGACCCTTGGCCTGATCCAGTAAGGATGTTAAGTTCTAGTTGCGATACAGCTCAAAATGAGCAAGTCCTTCTTGTCAAAAGTTGCCCTTAAAAGCAAAAAACCCAGCTTTCCTCTGCCTTAAATCTAGGATGCTTTCGGGGTTTTGGAGTATGAACACAGCATGGGGAAAAAAGAAGAAACTTAATCTGCTAAATGTCTCTAGTTCAAACTACAGTTTAAAAGGCAACAAAAAATGTGGAGGCCTAAAAGTAGGTCCCAGGCATGCCAGTCTTGCCTGTAGGGTATTGTAGAAATAAAATTATTATTGTTATTAGTAATAATAATAGCAGCAGCAGCAGGAAGTGTTCTTCAACAGCAGGAGTGATGAACCTGAACTGGTGGTTTGAACCTCTGAGTGTGCGCAGGGAACGAGGGCTCCAATTCGCAGTCATGCAAAGCTGCATGTGTTTACTCAGAAGTAGCTCTTGCACGCCCAAAGGCACGTGTAAGGTATACAAAGGTGTATGGATCAAATATAAACAATATTTTATATTGTTAATTTTGTTGTATATTTGAATGTATTATATTTTAATTTTATGTTGTGAGCCGCCCCGAGGCTTCGGCAAATGGGGCGGCATAGAAATGTTTTAAATAAATAAATATGCACATACATATACATTATATGTATTTATTATTATTATTATTATTATTATTATTATTATAACATTTCTATGCCGCCCCTTGCCAAAACCTCGGGGCGGCTTACAACATGATAAAATACATTGAAAAACAATAGTACATAATAAATTACCATTAAATACAAAAATACAAAAAATACATTGATTTACAAATATAAAATTAAAATTATCAGTATAAAAATCATAATAATGGATGTGTCTCATAAGGACACTATAGGAAGAAAGATCTACACAGCCTTCCAAAACCTGGTGCCCTGCAGAAATGGAGTACAGCTCCCATCAACTCTGTTATGCCAGTTGAGGATGATGGGAGCTATAGTCTGACATACTGGAGGGTGCTAGCTTAGAAACGTAGGTCAAGGGTAGGCAACTTGTCAGATATATTTATTATTTGGGTCAGAGCTCCTGTTATTCAGACTGACTTTGCTCCTGTTTTGAAAACATGCTATCACACTGCTTGGTGTTTTGGCAGGGGAAATGTTGCCTAGTTTGTTTATGTCAATATCAGGCCCAGCCTAATTCTGCCTTTGGGGTCACATTAAAGGCACTAGGAAGGTGCCTTTGACAAATGATGGCAATTTAAGATGCTGATAATGACTTATAAAGCCCTAAATGGCTTGGGTACCTGAAGAAGCACCTTCTTCCCTATGTATTCTCCCACCCCTTCAGATCTGAGGTGGACGTCCTGCTCCAGGAGCCCTCCTTGAAAGAGATCAGGAAGGTGGCTACCCAGAGAAGGGAGTTCTCTGCAGTGGCACCCCAGTTATGGAATGTGCTCCCCAGAAAGCCTCACTCAATTTTTCTTTTTGGCATCATTAAATTAAACCTTTTAATTTCCCCATTATTTAAATGTTCAGATGGTTTTAACTGGGTTTTCTCATCTTGACTGCTGGATGCTGTGTCTGTTTTGTTATTTTATTTGTTTCTTATTGTAAGCTGTCCTGAGACACCAGTGGTGGGTGGGGTACAAAAGTTTTAACTAAATAAAACCCTAATTTGGTTATTCTGCCTTCTTGAGCACCTGACCCCTAACAGTATGTACTTTTAACTCCATTTGATGAGGGGCAGAAAAAGGTACCAGGTCATGATTTTCTTGGCTGGGTTGGTTGGAAGAGGTTGATGACAAGATGGACCTTCCATAATTTTGGAGAAAGAAGAGGACATTTTAGTATGTGTTCCTTGCTGCACAGAAGTGAAAAAAGCTAGATCTCTCCTCCTTTGAAAGCAATGGTTGCAGAGGGAAGAATCAGAGAGAGGTATAATGTACAGGCGATGCCATTCAATGTGGCCACTCATAACCCTCTGAACTTGGAGGATTACATGCATCTGAAGGAGAGTCAGAGCTGTGGGGAGGTAAGAATTGTCTCCATGCTTCCTTTGCTGTCCAAAACTCTTAGATGTCCAATTGCAGTTGTCTATATGTTTTCACTCTGCTTGCACGGAAGGGCTGAGGCACCAACGGGTTTCTTTACAACCCACAAAAACCTCTCTCTTCCTCTCCCCTGCCTGCTTCAAACCTGTCTTTGTGACTTCCAAGCCTCAGCCAGCATGGGAAGAACTGCACCAGTTTGTAAGGGTGGAGGGAAGGCACGCCAAATTCGGCACCACGTCTTTATTTTTTGTTCCTAATTTGAGTTGCATAGGACTTTAAAAAATAATGTGTTTACTATGCAATCCTTGCATGTTGACATAACAAAAGGGTGTACAACTCACTGCCTGCTGCAGTCCTGGGAACTTTTTTCTCTCAAAACTTTCCATAGAATCGCACCCTTAGGCTCCATTCTTATCTGGGAATCAGCTCCATAGAATGCAATCAAACTTTCTTCTCAGCAGTAACAAAGGATAGCTTATGGTCAGTTCTGTGCTTATCAAACACAAAAGAAAATCAAATAGAATTTTTAAACAGCATTTTATTTCTTTTGGAGAAATAAAAAGAGGATGGATGTTTGTCCTCATATTATCAGGACAAACATCCATCCTCTTTTGATTTCTTCAAAAGAAATGAGAGAGAACAAAACTACGGACCAAGATCCAGAATGCTGAAATAGCTACCAGTTCTCTGTTTACAATAAAGTTTGAAGAGGAATTCAGCCTTTAAAGCTCCAAGTGTCCCCAGATAAGTTTTGGACTAGTCTGTATTGCATGCTTCCCAATCATGGAGATATTCATTTGTTACATTTCTTTGGCTCTTTATTACAATAGTCAGAACTCTCAAATATTTATTTGATAAACAGTAAGATTTCTCCAACCAGATTCACTGTTTTTCCACAACATGCTTTATTTATTAATTTGAGATTTTTTGTACTGTTCCAATTTAGACAATGGCTCTCAGGCTGGTTTACAATTTATTACAAATTTAAAAACATATGCAGCCATTCAAATTTAATCAATCACAAGATAAAACCAGTAAAACATATTAATAAGAATAAAACAGAGTATAAAATCAGAAAGCAGTAAAGTAGGATATCCTCTTGGAAGAAAGACAAAGGGCTGTTAGGGAATTACACCTGGTACAATTTTTACCCTCCCTTCAACAAGTAGCATCGGTTAGACAGCGAAGGTAAGTGAAAACCTTCCAAAAATATCAAAGCTGGAGCAATTCTGACCCTGGTCAACTTCCTTTTGCAATCCAGTATCCTCTTTTGCCTCCTGGATCCCAGGGGATGCCAACTTTCCCTTAGTCTGTGTTCCTGTGCCTTTTAACAGCAGCCTGAAACAGAGAAGCGAAACGGGAAAACGTCACCTTTCTCCCTTCAGCTCATCTTCATGCCAGGAAAAAATAATAATAAAATCACAGTGTGATGAGAATTAGGGCGCATGATGGGACCCTTTATTTATTTTTTTTCTCTCCAAACATGGTCGCGGTTTCCAAGGGGTTTATTTTTCTGAAACACTTGAAGGGGTTAACCCTCTGGCTTCTGGAGGAATTTACGAAAGGGGTGGAGATGTCCCCTTTCCATCTTTTCTTCCTCCCTTGGAGAGAATTTTGCTTTTGAATGGCCGCAGGAGAGGTGAGTTGGTGCCGCTTTTAATTTTTAGTTGCAAGCCTTTGTGTAAGATGGAGAGCCAGGAAATGAGGCCAGCAAGGGGAGAAAGGACCCGCGCACCGTAAAGGATGTGGGGTCCGTGCAGCTAGTTTCAGGGTCCCTTTCCCCGGAAGGAAAGGAGAGGGTTAGTTTGGTTCACAACCGAAGAGATCCCTTCAGTAAATCTGATCTGTTTTTCCTCCAGGTGACTCTCTGCTCTCCAGGGAAGTTGGAGTGCTTGATTGTGCTACTCCTTGGTAGATCTTCAGTACTCACAACTTAGTGATGGAGTAGGGCAGGATCCGGTCTACATGAGAGAATGGGAATAAACAAACCCAGGAGGAGGTAGTCTTGGAGGAGCCTGTACTGGAAGTTTTGCTGGCCCCTTAAAATGGTGAGCCTTGAAGGCACTCTTCTCCAGTCTCATGCCCTCCAGAGGTGTGGGGTCTCCGAGAACCAGGCTGGGGCCTGCTGGGAGCTGTAGTCCCCCAACCTCTGGAGGGCACCGGGTCGGAGAAGGGAGCTGAAGGCGCCACAAGGCACTCCTGCGTTGGCTGCGATGGATGAACCAGCCTCCCCTCCCAAAATCATTAGAAGCCTGTGGCTGGAAGACCAGCCTTCCCTGGCTAGCTGGCTGCTTGCCCATCACTGCCAGGGGAGGCATGCCAAGGGGGCCAGAATTACTCTTGCTGTGGGGAGGAAACATTTTTCTTCCTGGCCCATAATACTAGAACCCAACGGGGTCACCCCAGGAAGTATGCTGGTTCGGGACAGGGAAAAGCAAGGTCTTCTTCATCCACACAGTGAAATGGTGGAATCTACTTCCACAAGATGTCACGACAGCCACCAATTTGGACGGCTTTAGAAGGGGACTGGGCACATTCCTGGAGGAGACAGCTACCTTCGGCCGCTAGCGCTGTCAGCTTTCTCCAGTATCAGAGGCAGTGTGCCTGTGTGCACCAGTTGCTGGGGAGCATGGGCAGGAGTGGATTCCCAGGGGCAGCTGATTGGCCCAGGTGGGACTGAATGGACCTCTAGTCTGGTCCAAGGTTGCTCTTAGAAAGAACCTTAGTACCTGCTCAGGTGAATTCATTGCCCCTGTTTGTCCCTCCTGTCTTACTTTTTCTGTAAACCGTGCTTGGGCTGGACCCTCTATCAAACAGAGGGGCCCTCACACCGAAGTGTCCTTCAGCAGTCCTTCAGATGGAGGACTGTTCCTTGTAAGTAGTTATTTGGCCTCCCGCTGTCATGTGGATTGGAGAGATGATGGAAGGCATAGTCCAGCTCATCCTGCATCTTAAACTTTGTGGGGTCTACTTCTGAGTAAATCCTCATTTGCTGTCCCTCAGTCCAACCCTCCATCTTCCGCAGTAATCATTAACAAGCATGATTGTACCAGACTGTCCCCAGTCATGATGAGGGGGCAGACAATGCCACCACCATCTCCAGCATGGTTCCTTCTTTTATTTTAAGTGCACCCAGTACCCCAGTTACAAACGTCCAAGTTAAGAACAACCCCTACTTATGAACAAGCAAATCTGGAAGTCCCACCTCACCCTTCAGGGGCAAGTGGACACCCGCGGGCAGCAAGCATGTGGTGAGGAGAGGAAGGAAAGAAGGAAAGGGATGAGAAAAGCCGCAAGAGGCAAAGTCAGAACTGGTTCCACAGCAGCAGTGGAACTACAGTAGTTGTTCATGCTCTGGGGTCCATCCTCTTCAACGCCAGTTCCATCTCCACCATCACCCAGTTAATGCTAGGCTCACTGTTAGCTCAAGAAGCATTACCTTTTAATAATCTTTTCATTCTTTTCCCTATCTTTCCATCTTAACAACTGTAGTGTATACCTGCACACATACATACAGACTCTCTTTCTTTCCCTTTGGTACCTGTAGTTACTTTATTATAACTGTATTATGATTATTAAACTGCTGTATTGTGTTTAAAATGTTTCAGTGTAAATAGAAGTGTTTCTTACGTGTTTTATATTATTTTTATCTACGTGACCTGACTTATACACAAAATCGACTTAAATAGGATTTCAGGAACAGAGCTCCTTTACAACCCGGGTGGGGACTTTGTTTTGGTTTCTGGAGTTCCAGAACACGTACACCGTCATAGTTTTGTTATTACTGTTTAATGTCTATACTGCACCATAGCTGAAGCTCTCTAGCTGGTTTACCACAGTAGTTGCGGTGCAGTTCTGTATATGAGTTGTCATTTTCGTGAACTGTAATGTATTTTCCATTTTTCCCTTAGTGTTTGGGAATTACACCATATTATGAGGGCTGCAGGATTTTCCATTTTTTTGTTTTAATCAAACATTTATTGCTTGCCTACTGGATTTTGCATAATTTTGAATAGTATTTATTACATGTTTATACTGTCAGTTAGCAGAAGCTTCTTTGCCTTGAGGGAGTCCTACCCATAGAATTGGCCTGAAAATTATTATTATTATTACTATTACTATTATTACAATGCATTTATTTCCTGCCTTGCTTCCTCTTCTGAGGCACCCAAGAGAGCTTACATAGCTCCATTTTATCTCCACAACAACAACCCTGTGAGGTAGGTTGAGAGTCCAGGACAGGCCCAAAGCACCCAGGGAGCTTCATGGCTGAGTGAGGACCCGAACATGGATCTCCCATCTCCCAGGTCCAGCACTCTCAAAACCGCGTGACACTAGCTTCCAGCAAACCACCCTGAATAATTTTAAATTAGTATTCTTATTGACTATCCCGCGTATGTTTCATACAGAGAGAAGTCCATCTTCCTGTCCATCTGGGAATCCAGCCCTGCTCAGATCACAGACTGAAGCCCCTCCAGACTGGAGCAGCGTCAGCTGTTTGGACTCAACCAACGTGTGGACCAAGAGGGCAGAGTTTCGGTCTCCCCAAGTGCTCCTTGCAAAAGCAGCACGGTAAAACCCTGTGGGTCCATCCGGGACCATCCCGTTGTGTGGTTCCTGCTTGTGAACGTACTTGGGGGTGAAAATGGAGGCTGCCCTTCCCACCGGCCCCGAACTGGAGGGGGGGCTGGATATGTCCAAGGACGCCACCTCTGCAGGGCGCACCGAAAGCCTGTCACAGCAGCCAGCATGGCGAGTGGCCGGCGAGGAACCGCGCAAAGCGCTGCAGCACCCTGGAGAAGGCCTGTGTCTGCCGCTTCCAAGGGCACCCGATTCTCCGCAGAGGGAATGGGGGCACGTATTCTTGATGGAAACGCCCCCGTGTGACAACGTCAGAGCCTTCCTTTCCTCTTTCGAGCAGATTGCTGAGGCCTGTCAGTGGCCGAGCGAGGAGTGGGTGGGCCGGCTCCTGCCGGCACTCAGCCAGGATGTTGAACAGGCCTTGAGCAGGCTGGAAGTCAGGGACCGGGGAAATTATGGGAAAGTGAAAGCCGCCATCTTGCGGGAGGACGCCCTGAGAATTGAGGCACTGCGGCAGCACTTCAGGCAGTATCGCTACCCGGATGTCGAAGACCCCCGAAAGGTTTGCAGCCAACTCCGGGAGCTTTGCCATCAGTGGTTAAGGCCGGAGAGGCGAACAAAGGAGCAGATCCTGGAGCTGCTGATCCTGGAGCAGTTCCTGGCCATCTTGCCTCATGACCTGCAGAGCTGGGCCAGGGAAGGGGGACCGGAAAACTGCACCCAAGCCGTGGCCCTGGTGGAAGACTTCCTGTTCAGTCGCCAGAAGGCTGAGGCATGGAAGTGGCAGGTCAGAACTGCAAGCACCTTTCTCTCCTAAGGAAATGTTTCATTTGAGAACTGCTGGTTGTCTTTGAGGAAGGTTTTAATCTGAACTGTTCCCTGGGATTCGTCTCAGTTGCATTTTCCTGATGCATCATGGGAACTGCATCTCCCACAGTGCCTGGTGCTCCTGCAGGCCCTGAGCACCTGTGTAAGATGTCGTACACGAGACGTCATGCAAGGCTCTGGCGGATGTTGTGCGAGAGAAGCTCGGGGAGTTGGGGCCACATTCCAGTGGTGTTTATATGGCCAAAAGCCAAAATACCATCCCTAGTTTTAGCTTAAAACCCCGAGTGTCACTGGATATTCTGGAATGGGGGACCCCAGGACAAAAGCTGGGGAACCACCAAAGATGGTAGAGGAAAGGTGTGGAATTAGTGGGTATAGCCATTTCAAGAATCCTGAAATTTGCTTTCCCCAACCTGATGCCCAACTCCCATCAGCCCCAGGCAATATGGCCAGTGGTCAGGAATGTTGAGCTGCAGTTTAAAAGATCCAGAAGACACCAGACTAGGAAGGCTGGAGGGGCGGTTCTACTGCTGAACTTGGATGGGTCAATACCTGTTTCAATACCTGCTCAGCCTTGGGCCAGTGACTACTACCTCTCAGCCTACCTCACAGGGCTGTCATGTGAATGTTGTAAGGGAGCAGGAAGGGGAGTACTGAAGTGGCTATCACCTCCATGGAGGAGGTGCAAGAAGGAAATACTGACAGAAAGAAGCATTCCCTTTATTAGCACATTCCATTCATATCCCACCTGTTTTCCTCTTCCACGTAATCTAAGCGTACCTGATCCTCCTCCTGTCCATTTTAGCCTCACAACAACCCTGTGAGGTAGGCCAGACTGAGGGGGTATGACTGGTCAGAGCTGAGCGTGCCTGATTTGAACAAGGATCTTCTGAAACCAAGTCCAGCACTCTAACCACCGCACCAGAAAGCCTCTTGCACAGAAGGTAGCTCGCCACATGTTCTGGACTTCAGCTCCCAGAAGCCCCTGCCAGCACAGCCAATGGTCAGGAATGCTGGGAACTGAAGTTCAACACATTTGCCTGCCGCTTGTCCCTGGTTCTAGGTTGTGAAACAAAATGTCCGGCCCCACTCTGAACTGGACCCTCTTTGTTATTTCAGGTGCCGTTGCAGCAGGTGATCGGGAGTTCCCTAGAGGGCAAGGACATCCATCAGAGACACGTCTACACGGATGTGACACACAAAGGTGACGGAGACATGAATTTGCTGGGTGAGGGTTTATATTTCGTTCATGCTTATGGGGTGAATTTTTATGGGGTAGGCAAAGAAGAAGTTGGTGGGCTGATCTTCCCGGGCATCAGTGATCTGTTCAGACTTGTGCAATTCACAAGAGTCTGCAGCAGCCGTGTGCAATGGTCATGTCTTATTTATTTAGGGAATGATCTTGTGGCCTCAAGAGGGTGTCTCGATGGGCTTATTGCATAATCTGGACTCCCAGTTCCAGCCTTGGAAAGAGTCCAAGGTCAGAGCTGGGACTCTGAACTTGGCATGTCTGCCCTTCATCTGCTTGGCCAGCATGTGACCTGTGGCTCCGAGCTTGTAAGACCAACCTCAGAGACGGAGTTCTTTGGGTGTCCCAAGGAGCAGGTGGGGCCACCAGCGAGGGTACGAGGGGAGAAAGAAAGGACGGGAATGTGGCAGGGTGGTGACGTGAAGATCCAGGAGGTCTGGGCTCGAGTCCTTGTGTGGCCATGAAGCTCATTGGGTAATAGGACTGAGCGGAGGAAGAGAATTATGTAAGCTGCCTTGAATTCCTTGAAAGAAAAGAAGGTGGACTATAAATATAATAAATACTGAAACATTTCCCAAGGTTTTTATTAATAACCTTTCCTGAAGAGGGGAGGCTGTAGAGAGTTTTGTGGGTGCCATTGGAGGTGCCGTGTTGGGGACTGCTGATTTTTGACAGCCCTTCAACTATATGATTGGAGCATCTGTCTGTCTAGCCCAATTACGCCCACTCTGGTTGGCAGCGTCCCTCTTGTACATGCCAGAGTATAGTTTTGATGAGCTCTGACAATGAAGACGAGAAAGTTGGGGAGTCTCAGCAAGCCCCAGAATCAGACCAGGGTCAGGAAATGTCTGGGGAATGAGTGGAAGAGTTGCCAGTCCAGTATTTTATATTTATTTTATTTATATTGTGATTTATATCCTGCCTTTTTCCTACAAAGGGCTCAAGGCAGCTTTACATCATTCTCCTCCTCCATCTTATCCCCACAACAACAACCCTGTGAGGTAGGTTGGGCTGAGAGTCTGTGACAGGCCCAAAGTCACCCAGTTGGCTCCATGGCCGAGCGGGGACTCGAACCCGGATTGCCTGAGTCCCAGTCCCATGCTCTTAACCACTGCACCACACTGGCTCTCACACCGGTATGATGAGCGTGATGTCCAACCAGCCTGTGGGAATGAAGAGATAGCAAAACAGGAGGTTGAGTTGGCAGCCGGGGCTGATGGGAGCCCCAGTCTACCAAGAGGAGGAGACGGGGGCTGGAACGTGTCTCACAGCATGAGCTGAGCGGCCTGCCTGACACAGGGGGAGCAAAGGCAGGAAATGGAGTTGCCAAAGGATTGCCGAAGGACTGGTCTTCGCGGTGCTCCGCCCGCAGGGATTGTGTACACGAAAGGGGAATACAGAGGAGGAAGTCTACAGGGTGTCAAAGAGGCCTCGCTCCGGGTGAACTCGGAGATATGGAACAATAAAGTCTTGTGGAAAAGCAACTTGGGAGAAGAGCTGCAGTGCAGGCAGTCCCTTCAGGTCCATCCCCGTCCCCTGCTACGCCGTTCTTTCTGCCCGTGCGCTCCCACAGCCGTGCTTTCTTCCCTTCTGTCCCCGCAGCCAGTGGAGCAGCGTTCCCAAGCCGGACCTGTTTGTCACTTCCCCCCGAGCGACAGGAAATGGCCGAAGCTGGCCTGACTGAGGTATGTGGGACGTTGCTTTGCTTGGAGGCAAGCTGAGCAAAGCTAACAAAAGAGCCAGAGTACACTGGAGCATGTGCAGAGTACCTTGGCCAGCTCCGCTTAGCAATCACGGCAACCCTCTGGCCCAGTTTTCAGTGATTGTTGTTTAGGGTTCTTGCTTCACCTTAGTCCTGAGTTAAAGTGTGCCCGAATCTTTAAATACTCTCTAGGCAGTGAAAGCAGGTGAGGGGTGTGTGTCTATTCCAGGGGCTGCTGAGCTTCGAGGAGAAGGTGACCTCTTTCCGGAAGGAAGAGCAAGCTTCAGCGCATCCGAGCCAAGGGACCGTGTTCTGGCAAGTCAAAGAGGAGACCTGTGGGAACGAACCGTCCTTGGGTAGGTTACCAAATCCAGCCCAAATGGGAACATGATCTAGCCTTCCCGGAGAGGAGTGCTCCCTTCCCCGGTTCTCACCTGCCTTCCCCAACCACTGAGGTTTGGATTTTGCACTTTTCTCCCCTGTTCCAAAAGGCTTCAATGCCCCCCAAGGCTTAGCTTCTTGGACCTTTAGGCTGAAACGGGAGGCACCTGCCCTGCTGGCCTTTAGGCTCCAACTTCAGATGTATTTGTTCCATAGTTATTTTAAGAGGTGAATTTTTGATTTTTGATCTTGGTTTTAATTATTCATGCTATTATATGGTGCTTTCAATAAGTTTTAAAGCTAGATACTGATATAACCTAATTTCAATTGATTCAAATTTGATTTTTGGAGTTTTTCTATAATATATATTCTATTTATTGCTTTGCTATTCCTATTTTATTTAATTCTGGGTGTTTACTTATGGATTTTATTGTTATTGGTCTTTCGTAACTGGCAGTTGCTATGTTGTACATTGTATAGTTTTATGCTGCTTTATAATGTATGAATTTTATTATGACGTGAGTCACCCAGAGAACTTATGGCTAGCATGGGGCAGCATATAAAATGAATGAATAAATAAATAAACAAACATGCTGGCATTTTGGCCACACTGCTCTTGTCAGATCATGTCGCGCGCACGCGCGCGTGTGTGTGATGTGTATATTGCTTGTATGCGTGCATTTCCATTTATATAATATGTCTTTTAAATCCACTGTCCCAGTTTAATGCTTATGAACATGACTAGATCAATTTTGTGTTGTGGCCTATTTAATTTTGTCTTGTTTTTCTCAAGTGCTTAGTTGTTGTTTTTTTAAGAGGGGGGAAATGTTGAAAGTTCCATGAAATTGTCCCTTGAAAAACTGGCAGTAAACCAGAGCAATCTACATTGTTTAGACCTGAATTGTCTGAATAACAATTCCATTGTTCTTTCTCCTTGTTCCAAGAGGGGCTTCTGATTCCCAGACTTGACCTTTCCTTTCATCCCGGAAAAGGGGACAAGATGTTCTTCCGGGACTCAGATTCAGGTAATGGGAAAGGCAAAATCTGCTTGCGGGTGCTTCCCCTTGGAGAAAGCCCTGGGAGGCTGCCTGGTGCCAGAAGCTGCCCTCCTCGGACCACTGGCCCGACCTGTCTTAAGAAGATTTTTCTCGACCAGCATTCCAGACAGAGCTGGGCAGATGGGTCCAGCCACCCTTTTCATTTCCCTTTAGCTTCACTCAGGTGCATTATAGGCATTTAAATGAGTGGCTTGGTGCAAGGCCAGGTCAGGCCACCAAAGCCTGGGTGGATGATAGAGGGTGATGATTTGAGGTTCCTTCAAACCCAGGGATGGCCAATAGATCCCATCGCGCCCTCACAGAGGAGCACTGGGATGTGAAATGCACTGTATCAGTAAGAATGTGTCTTGCTGCCCCAATTTTGTTGCCCCGGCTGGCCTTCTTGGGAATCCTTTTTGTTGAAGAAAAATGGTAATGAATTATGGTTGATGTTTATCATGATAGCAAAAGTCCCTATAAATGCTAAAAAATTCATGGCCCTCTGAAAAAATTCACTCTGCTTTTTATCCTGATACACAGGGTCAGCCTGCAGTTACAAGATTTTAATTTTCTTGAAATTAAAATAGGCATAAAGAGAAAATTAAAGCAAAGTAAGTGGCAGACCAGCATCTATCTGTCCTGTGACTTTGTGAAATATTTGGCTGTGTAAAGAGTTGATAATTGGCTAGACAACTGGGAATATTTGACAGGTTGGTGGACCGGTGGACCCACAAATGCCAGCTGTGTGTATACATTCAGGTGGACTTTGCGCAGTAATGTTTGGCTCCTAAAGCCACCGGATTGGGACTCCTTTCCCTTGAAATAGGGAACTTTCACTCCAGTGCTTAGAATTAACAGCTCCTTATATCCGGCACTTACCTTGGTTTGGAAGAAAGTCCAAACCATTGTTTTTAGAGCAGCAACCTAAAACTTTGACTAAACTGTGCCTGCAGCAAACTGAGTCTCACTGGTGAAATTGCAATGAGGCACGCTGGAGATCTGCCATATTAGCAGTGCCCCTAGGGAAGAAACTCCATAATTCAAGTCCCCAGGCTTGTAAAACATAATTGCTGGTATGGATCAGTGATAACTCAAAGTTCATCTCTTAATTGTGGAAGTTGGTTGAATCATCAGGTGGTTCTTTGTGGGAAGTTTAATTGGAGTCCTGAGGCCACGGTGCGTTCAGAGCTTTGGGTGCCTCCTTCCGCGTGAGGGTTGCTGCTCCGCCAAAAAAAGAAAAGAAAGCAGGGTGTTAATTAGTGCATAATTGTAATTGCTACTCCTGGGGGACTTCTGTAGCATCTGGATAGTGTTTACCAAGAGCACAGGGCTTACTAGGCAAAGAGAGCGATTTAGGATAACACCTCAGGGACCTCAAATTGCTTCGAGTGAAGGGGTGTTGAAGTAATTCAGAGAATGCTATAGGCCCCTATTTTTCTTAACTAAACAGCAGCAAGAATGCTTGATCTGGGGACTGGAGCGCTCTGAATGGCTTTTGATGATCTTAAATGTGGAAGCCTGAGTGATAGTTTGTAAAATAAAAAATCAATCCATCATGGCATCCATGTTAGCCATGTTCGTACACAACTGGAAACCAGGATTCTGGGGAATGTTAGCATATTTATTAAATAAGGGAACAATCCCCTGACCTTAGCTATTGCCTGAGGAAGGGACATAGAAACATAGAAACAGAGTGAGTCAGAAGGGGTCTCCCAGGCCATCTAATCTGACCCCCGGCTCCAGCCGGCTCCACTCACAACATGCCCACCATGTGCATGTCCAGCCTATCCTTGAACACTCTCACCGATGGGGCCTCAACCACCTCCTGGGGAAGCCAGTTCCATACCCTGGGGGCCCTAACTATCAGGAAGAACTCCCTGGCATCTAAATTGAACCTCGGTTCCCTGAGCTTTGCTCCGTTTGAGCACGTCCTGCCTTCCTCTGTAAGGGAGAACAGGTCTCTACCCACCCCCATGTGACACCCCCTGATGTACATCGGCGTTTGGATGTCGAGGTCTCCAAACTGTATCGGGCCCAACCCCCTGCCCTTTCTGGGGCAGAAAGAGGTACAGGAGCTGTGCTTGGAGGTCAGGAAGGCATCCCTGGAGAGGGGTAAAAAGGCATTTGGGAGCCAGAGAGGGAAGGAGACTGAAGTGGCCAGGGCAGAAGCCATCATGAAGCTGCCCCAGCCTCCTTCCATGCTCTTTCAAGAGGCCATCTCTGGATCCCGGAAACAGCTGTCTAACAAAAATGCAACCTGGGAGGAGTGGGGAGCCAAAAATCATTTTTGCTATTCCTCTTGCCCTAGATCGGAAGTGTGTGCGCTCCCAAATCAAAGGCTTATGATCACCTTGAAAGAACTGCACCCCAAATTGCACAAGAAACCCCCAAGTGGTCAGTAGCTGGGGGAGAGGTGGTGGGTGGAGGAAAGGACTGTGGCCTTGTGTTTCGGAGGAGGGCCAGATTTTGCCCCCAGTCCTGAGGTGGCCCATCAGTCGGGAGGAGTGTCAGGACTGCTTCCTGGGTCCCTACAGAATGGAAAATGAAGCCTTGAAGCCTGAGAGCTGGAATCTTGAAGCGGAAACGAGAACGACACGGAGCTAAGCCTAGATAAGAGAGATGAGCCTAAAGAAGCTGCATGAATCAGCTGGGGGAAAGATATGGCAGGAAAGAAAGCCAACGGGAATAAGTGGCAGCATATCCTAGAAAAGGTGGCCAGAACACGGATACCACTTCTGGATCTTGATTCTCTTTTCCCCTTTCTCCAGGTAACAGAAGAGAGATCAAGATGGAGACTTCTCATCAAACGAGGCCGGATGGAATCTCTCAAGGGAATGTTTCTCTGGTGACCGAAATCCCAGAGGAAAGATTTGAGTCCAAAGGACAACAGAGGGAGAGCAAATGCTGTGACCATTCGGAAGGCCTTACAGCTCCAGTTCATGAAAGCACAATGGTCATCGGGACAGAAAAGCCGTTGCTCTCCAGTTATGGAAGGATTGACCAGTACGGCTTGGGACTTAAGCTGAATGCCGAAGAGAATCCTTATGAATGCTCTCTGTGTGGGGAAAGCTTCCAGCAAGAATGTTACCTTGCTGCACACCAGAGAATCCACACAGGAGAAGAACCATATGAAAGGTCTCAGAGTGGGAAAGCCTTTCCTCAAAGAGAAATCTGGGATGGCCGTGAGAATAGTCCGATGGAAGAAAAACCTTATCAATGCCCGGAGTGTGGGAAAAGATTCAGCTACAGGGCAACGTTAATGAGACATCGGAGAATCCATACTGAGGAGAAGCCACATAAATGTTCTCATTGTGGTAAAAGCTTCAGCCAAAGAACGAACCTGATGAGTCATCAGAGAATCCACACGGGAGAAAGACCTTTTCAGTGTTCGCAATGTGGGAAAGTCTTCAGGTGGCAATTGCATTTGAAGAGACATCAGAAAATCCACACGGGAGAGAAACCACACAAATGCCCCGACTGTGGGAAAAGCTTCTCTCGGAGAGATACTTTGATAAATCATCAGAGAACCCACACAGGAGAGAAACCGTACGAATGCCCCGATTGTGGGAGAAACTTCAATCATCCATGTAACTTAATTGAACATCAGAAAACCCACACAGGAGAGAAACCCCATGAATGCCTCGAGTGTGGGAAAAACTTTTCTCGGAGAGACACGTTGATCAAACATCAGAGAACCCACACAGGAGAGAAGCCTTATGAATGTCCTGAGTGTGGGAAAAGTTTCAATCATCCATGCAGGTTGATCGATCATCAGAAAATCCACACTGGAGAGAAGCCACACAAGTGCCCTGACTGTGGGAAAAACTTTTCTCGGCGAGATACTCTGATCAGACATCAAAGAACCCATGCTGAAGAGAAACCTTATGAGTGCCCTGGGTGTGGGAAAAGCTTCCTTCAGAAAAAAGCATTCATTAGACATCAAATAATACATTTAGGGCATAATTCTAGTCAATGTTCTTGAAAGCACCACATTCCGTAGGAAGGAAAAACAACATTGATAAGAGATTTCATATTGTTACAGGGTAAAGAATCCACTTTCTGGCAGAGAGAATCTGATGGGACTATACCAAGAAACTGTAAAGAGGGTTAAAGAAGCGGAAAAGAATTTAGATAAAGGTCTGGCAATGGTAGAAGAAAAAGTAATGAAAACTTCAGAGAAAATAATTGATTAATCAGGAAATTAGAGATATCAATAATTCATTAAATCCAAATGTGAGATGGCTTGATTCCACAAAGGGAGCCACAACCTTGTACAAGAGCTGAGCAGGGTTGTCAAGGAAGGCACTAATTCTTAAGTCAGAAACAACTTGACAGTATGTAACAATGCATTGGATGACCTTTTGTTATGAAAAGATATTGAAATAATAAAAGAAACAACTGATGTTAATATATATGGTAATCTAGGACATAGAGAATGACTAGAGAAAATAAAAAATAGAGAAAAAAATAGAGAAAATAACATCAGAGGAGTGGAGGAAGGTGCTACAGGTTGATCTAGAATCGTTGTTGGGTCGAATTAATTCATTAACTGTAATTGATATCAAAACAGATTCTGCTTTGTTGATGAATAGCGATTGTTCACAAATGAAAGAAACCCAGATTATTTTAGATAAGTCTCAAAGCCTTTCATCTAAGAAGATAGTTCTAGATTCATCTATGAAACATCCAAGGTTCATGATTCAAAAGCAGTTGCCAACTGCCATTTCCATTAAAGGTGATTTTTTTTTTTTTTTTTGAAAAGACTAAAGAAGTTCATCTAAGTGACATTTATGGAAGGAAAACCTTGACCAGGCATGGAAAGATGACCACACTGGTGCCAGGTGGACCTCACTGAGGAGCGCGTGGCACAATCAGGGTTACTATTGAGATGGTCCCGTCTTCCAAACCTCTCGAAGGAAGCAGTTAGTGGTTATAATATATGGATAGGGTCATACTGGGAGAGGTATTTTTTGCCAGGTTTTCTGGCCCCTTCCACCATTCCCATTTTCTCTCTCGCTCTCTCTCTCTCTCTCTCATGCATGCACACACACACACACACACACACTGCCTCCCTCTTCACAGCCCACACATTCAGTCCTCAGTGTTCATCAACTCAGATGGATTTCCCATAACATTTGCTCATAGTTTCACATGCGCACAGACAACTTTTGGAAGGGTGCTGTGCGCTTCCTCTTTCAAGAACAAGATTCTTAAGGAAGAAACCTTAGAGCGTGGCCGTTTTTATTTATTTATATTTATTTCTTTTTTGATTTATATCCTGCCTTTTTTGTACAAAGGGCTCAAGACAGCTTACATCATCTCTCCTCCTGCATCTTATCCCCACAACAACAACCCTGTGAGGTAGGTTGGGCTGAGAGTCTGTGACTGGCCCAGAGTCACCCAGTTGGCTCCATGGCTGAGCGGGGACTGGAACCCAGATCGCCTGAGTCCCAGTCCCGTGCTCTTAACCACTATGTTGCTGTAGGGAAGACTCCATGTCAGGCTGCTGTGGGTTCCCATCTCCCATGTGGGGGAAAACATGGACAAGGTCGACGGCTAAATGTACTCAATGGCCCATGGGTTGTCCATCTTGGAATAGACTAACAACAGGAAGTGTATGAGCTCCAGATGTTGCACGACGCACTTCATACAGCCAGTGTAAAATTCTCTGTAGAAGAGCATCTATTAGGAGATTTTTGGCTACGTATGCTGTACAGAACCTGTGGGAAGATGAAGGATTTTCCATGTGAGGGATGTAGGTTTTCCTTTGTCCTCGGTGGTTCAATTTCACTGTTCTCTCCCTTTGTATTTTAAAGCTAAAAATAAACATGGCAAAATACTGAAATTAGGATGAGGGTATCTAAACTGATTTGATCAAGCCACTGTGGAAAATATTTATAAAGGTGGGAAGTGGGCCTCATCATTCCTTTCCTTCTAGCAGTCCCTCCAGCCTCCTGAAAATGTTACTCAGAGGAAGGAAGTCCTGCTGAATGGGATAGGAAGTGGGGATTCCCGGGAATTAGCTGGTTTCCGTGTAGATTCCTGCATCTCACAGAAGACGTGTCCCGGAGCCAGTGCACTGGGCGAAATCCAGCACCAGCTTTCCAGCAACTGAATGGGCATCACTGATGGAATGGATTCCCATTCCTCGCTCCCGCTGGCTACCATGCCAAAATTCTTCCCTGAGGGTCCCGGGTCCCGGAAGAGCAAATACGACTAGCGCAGAAGTACAGGGAGGAGAGGAGGGGGGCTTTGAGAGCCAGAATGGTATAGTGGTGGAAGTTTTGGGCTGGGGATGCGGGGGATTCAGGTTCTAGTCTTCATGAAGCCCAGTAGGAGGCTTTGGGCCTAGTGCGGTCTCTCAGTCTGCCCTACCTCACAGGGTTGTGGTGAGGATAACATGGAGAGGAAGATGACTATAGAAGCTATGCCGGGTTTCTTGAAAGAAGAAAAAAGGAAGGATATGAATATTATAAAATAAATATTATAATATAGCTTAATATTCACATTTGATATGGAATACACTCCCCAGGGAGGTTCACCTGGCGCCGTTGCTCTATTCTTTTCGGTGTCAGGCAAAGAGCTTTTTATTTTCCCAGTATTTCAACAATTAATTGGTTTTATCCTTGTTTTTATCACTATTTTTAGATGCAGTGTGCTATGCATTGTTGTTGTTGTTGTCGTCATGGTTTTTGTTCTTTGTAAGCTGTCCAGAGACTTTTTTAGTAATGGGACAACACAGAAAAACTTTAAATAAATAAAATAAAATACTAACAAATTAGGAAAGAAATAATGGGTTTTGATAGATAGCTTAGGGAAAGAAATCCTACGATAAAGGAATATTAAGAAAGAGAGGCACTAAAAGTAAGCCTGGCTGTAAAGCTCAGTGGGTAACTTTGAGCCAGGCACCAGCTCTCAACCTACCCTACCTCACTGGGTTGTTGTGCAGATAAAATGGAGAAGAGGAGGAGGACCAGCTAAGCCAACTCGGGTTCCTTTCAAGAGGGAAAAAGGAAGGCTAGACATGTACATCTAGATACATCAGTACCTGAGTTTACGTTCAGTATATAAAGGATGAATCTGCCCGAACCACACCTGGTGTTGTGGAGATGCTTATCGCTGGGCGACGTGCCAAGTTACTTTCAGGCTCGGCACATCATCATCATCATCATCATCATCATCATCATCATCATCATCATTATTATAACATTTCTATGCCGCCCCTTGCCAAAACCTCGGGGCGGCTTACAACACGATAAAATACAATGAAATACAATAGCACATAATAAATTACCATTAATTACAAAATACAAAAAATACATTGATTTACAAATATAAGATTAAAATTATCAGTATAAATTAAGTAAATAAAAAAATAGGAGGAGAAAGGGAAGGAAGAAGAAGTTGCCCTGGCCAGATCATATGTTTTAACAATTAAAATGATGTTTAAATAAAAAGGTCTTTACCTGGCGCCGAAAACCCAGTAACGATGGTGCCAGGCGGACCTCTTTGAGGAGTGAATTCCATAGGTTGGGCGCCACCGCAGAGAAAGCCCTCCTCCGAGTACTTACTCTCCTAATTTCTTTCATGGAGGGTTCCCGGAGAAGGGACTCTCCCGCAGATCTCAAAGCAGACCAGTGTTTTCAACCTTTCCGCAGCTGGGGACTGGCACAAGTAGGAAAAGCACCTCAGGGACGCTGAAGCAGAAACAAGAAGCACCACACACAATACAGTCTTCCTTGCATTCGTTTCCAAACAGAATACCAAAAAAAACAAAAATTCCCCAAAACACCCAGAAACCAAGCAGCAGAAAATGCTGACGAAAGAACAAAATACCGAAATCGGCACAGTGTGGCTCCCATCAAGCCGTCTCTCCCCTCCCTGCCCCCCCCCGACACCCACCCGCAGCCCGCGGAGGCAATGCCAACCGGGGAAGAGGTGGTGAAGCACAGCCAGGCCCTGCACCCGCCTGCAGGCCGGTGGTTGAAAGCCACTGCTGTAGACCCTATTGAAGGGCTGAGGGATTTCTTTCATCCATTTTTTCTCCCTCCACCCAATATCTTCCCACCTTTATATTGTTCGATATCATAGAGTGGAAGGCCATCGGGTCCAGCTCAGTGCAGGACTCCCAGTTAAACCACCCCTCTCAGATGGCTGTCCAGTTGCATCTTGGATGCCTCCAGTGTGGGGGAACCCACAACCCATCTTGGCCATGGCTTCCTTTGCTGTACTGCTCTAGCAGTCAGGAAGTTCTTCCTGATGGCCAGCCAGAATCTGGCTTCCTGTAACTTGACCCTGTTATTCCACTCTGGGATGACTGAGACAAGATCCAGTCCTTTGTCTTTGGGACAGGCTGTCAAGGACTTGTTGAGCACAATCATCTCCCCCCCTCAGACTTTTCTCCTCGAGGCTACAAGCCCAGTTCTCCCAAGCTCTCCTCACAAGACTTCGTCTCCAGTCCCCGGATCGTCCTTGCTGCCCTCCTCTGACCCCTTCTCAGCTTGTCTGCATCTTTCTTCAACTGGTGCCCAGAACTGGACACAGGGCTCCAGGTGGGGCCTGAGCAGTTCTTCCAAAATGGGGCCGACTGCACTGGAGCACTCTGCAGAGTTGCAGGAAATCGCTTCCCCTCCTCGGCCACCAGCTCTCCTCCTCTGCAAGCTGTGGACTACACTGCAGGGGTGTCGCTATCCTCGCTCACCCTTTGCCCGTTCCGTCCGTCTCCAGTGGCTGGAGAATACTCACTGCCATATTATATTTGCCACTGTAAGCTTTGCAGAGCCCTTTTCAGAATTAGGAAGTGTAGGGGACTAGACGAGGCGAAAGAGGTGCATCTGGTTTCTCAGGACTGGTTTTGGGGAAACTCAAAAGGGTGAAACTTTGGCTCCCAGAGTACTTGAGGAATATGGACTGGGATTGAGAGGTCAATCGGGAGCCCTCGCCTCTCTCTCCCTGGAGGGAATTTTGTCTGAATGATGGCAGGAGAGGGGAGTTAAAACAGGCGAGAAAGAAGGGGATTGGGGAAATGGAGAGGCCCCAGAAGGCAGATGGAGGAAGGAGTGCAACCTTTAGCCCTCAAGCAGAGGGGAAGTTACTCAGTAACTGCGGAGAGCGGATTTCATTCAAAACCTCCGATCTCTTGTGAAGACTTTGCCTTATTGCTCAGCTCTCTTCCCACAACAGAAGAGAGCCCAAATAGAAGAGATACTTATTCGCCCCTCTCCCTTCCCCCCAAAATCCCCCCAAGTCTATACTGTAAGTTCCTCTGGATGGGTGCATATGTACCCGATACACGGTAAAGTCACAGCCTTCTACCCCATAACATCCATTTTATAATTTATTTATTCCAAACATTTCAGAGCAGCTTTGTTGAATCAGCAGTCTCTGGCCATTGAGTCGCAGTCAAGAAATAGAAGAGGAAAGGGATTGGCGAGAGAAGAGAAAACACACCTGTTGGAGAGATGCTTGATTCCATTGCCCAGGTGGCGTGAAATTTATCCCTTGCATTCAGGTTTGGATTGAGCTTCTGGGCTTTCCTTTTCTTTCTGCTCTTTTGCAGTTTCTCTTCCTTGGGGTTCAGACTTCTGTTCTTCATTCTCTCTCTCTCTCTCTCTCTCTCTCTCTCTCTCTCTCTCTCTCTCTCACACACACACACACACACACACACACACACACACACACACGTGCGCGCGCATGCGCGCGTGTGTGCGAGCTTGCATGCACTGGCAAGATGTTTCTTCAGAAGCCCGTCTGTCCATCCATTCAATTTATATTCCACTAT